CGTGCAAGTCCAGATAGTAAGAGCATCTGTGTTAGGAAACTAGTAAGTATCCAGGGTAATATAGTTAGGTATATCATGTGAAATATATGCTATTATGCCGGAATCGAGAGGAATCCGTGGACCGAGGGAGGGAATGTGGCGCGAATGCGAGTGTGAAGCACGGAGATATAGCGCGGCACGAGATGAGAAATTAGAGCGGCGTCGACCTCGCTTCCCCCGTCCGTCGATTTCTCGCATCCACCGTCCGTCGCCACAGTCCCCCGCCCATCGCGCTCGCTTCCCCCGCCCATCGCGCTCGCTTCCCCCGCCCATCGCGCTCGCTTCCCCCGCCCATCGCGCTCGCTTTCCCCGCCCATCGCGCTCGCTTCCCCCGCCCATCGCGCTCGCTTCCCCCGCCCATCGCGCTCGCTTCCCCCGCCCATCGCGTTCGCTTCCCCCGCCCATCGCCCTCGCTTCCCCCGCCCATCGCGCTCGCTTCCCCCGCCCATCGCCCTCGCTTCCCCCGCCCATCGCCCTCGCTTCCCCCGCCCATCGCCCTCGCTTCCCCCGCCCATCGCCCTCGCTTCCCCCGCCCATCGCCCTCGCTTCCCCCGCCCATCGCGCTCGCTTCCCCCTCCCGTCGCCCTCGCTTTCCCCTCCCGTCGCCCTCGCTTTCCCCTCCCGTCGCCCTCGCTTTCACCTCCCGTCGCCCTCGCTTTCCCCTCACGTCGCCCTCGCTTTCCCCTCCCGTCGCCCTCGCTTTCCCCTCCCGTCGACCTCGCTTTCCCCTCCCGTCGCCCTCGCTTTCCCCTCCCGTCGACCTACCATCCCCCTCCCATACCCCTCCCATCACCCTCCCATACCCCTCCCATCCCCCTCCCATACCCCTCCCATACCCCTCCCATCCCCCTCCCATCCCGCTCCCGTCCCCCTCCCGTCCCCATCCCGTCCCCATCCCATCACCCTCCCATCGCCCTCCCATCCTCCTACCATCCCCCTCCCACCCCCCTCCCATACCCCTCCCATACCCCTCCCATCCCCCTCCCATCCCCCTCCCATACCCCTCCCATCCCCCTCCCATCCCCCTCCCATACCCCTCCCATACCCCTCCCATCCCCCTCCCATCCCCCTCCCAACACCCTCCCATCCCCCTCCCATCCCCCTCCCATCCCCCTCCCATCCCCCTCCCATACCCCTCCCATGCAGGAGAATAACTCTTCCTCCCTCCCTTCCTCCCTCCCTACTAGCCTCCCAGCGTAACTAACTCCCTTTCACCCCTCCCTTCATTCTGCTCACCTTTCCATCCTTCCTGTTCATTCTTTGAGCCCCCTGTTCATTCTCTTCCCCCCTGTTCATTCTCTGAACCCCCTGTTCATTCTCTTCCCCCCTGCTCACTCTGTTCCCCCTTTCACTCACCCCCATCTCCAACCACGCAGTGTACAGGTCCCAGGATCCCAGCACCACAGGCCAAGGTTGCATGCTGTGTAGCAAACAAGAAGGGGAAAAAAACATTACTACGTTTTCTAGCTGTCTTCTTTGTGTCGAAAATCTACCGTAATCTCCCGTATATAGGACCCGGGGGTCTTATCAGAAATGTTATGAATAATGATTAGGTGAACAATACCAAGGGGCATATTTACTAAGACCCCTGAACACATTAAGAATTCATAGAGCACAATGTATTCACTCATAGCACTGGAAAGTCAAGCTTTTACCGAGGGTGTTGAATTCTTCCCCTGACGCGGATTCGAATCTCAACAGTAAAATCCACGCAAAATCGAATCCTGACTGGAATTCGACGCGAAACTGTCTCGCGTCACCGTTTTGTGCCTGATGACGAGTCAGCCGAGCATCACCAACCCCCCAGATTCGTTAAGAATATAACATTAATTTGAAAATTTGACGAAGGAGGGGGGTCTTAAAATATATATTTAAAAAAGGGGGGTCCTCACGAGAACAGGTCGGAATAAAAGACCCTTGGTCCGAAAAGAGGACCCGGGGTCTTCTCCGCGGGGGGGTACTGTATCCGGGAGATTACGGTATTGTAGACTTTGTTGCACTTTTCTGTAGTGGTCATGTGCATGGCTGCTCCTCAGCTCAAAGTTTGTATTATAACAAAGCATCCAACATCCAAAAATTGCATGGCGGGTCATTATAGCACTACCGTATCAAGCTGCCAGCCAACACATCACCACAGCACCAGCACTGATACATAGCGGACCTGTACAAACACAAACCAGGAATGTGAGATTGCTGAGCAGTAGGGATTGTTTTGAGACGTCTGAAAAAACAAGATACTGACGAAGGACAAGTAGTTTAGAAGAGACGGGAGGAAACGATCACGCAAGGCCTCTCGATCTATGATTACAGTAAAAGCTGAGCAGAAGAAGGGAAGGAGGAAAGGAAGGGTTGAGAGGAAAGGAGGAGAGCTGAGGGGGAAAGGAGGAGAGGGGCTGAGAGGGAAAGGAGGAAGGAGGCTGAGGGGGAAAGGAGGAGAGGGGCTGAGAGGGAAAGGAGGAGAGGGTTGAGAGGGAGGGGGGGAGGGGCTGAAAGGGGGAAGGGAGGAAATGTGAGAAAAAATGGAAAAGGCTAGGGATTGGAGGGAAGAGAGGGTTCGGTGAGAGAAGGGAGGGACAGGGGGAGGACATGTGCGGGGATAAGGGCGAGAAGCGACGGGAGGGTAGGGGCAGAGGGAGAGAGAGGAAGGGAGACGAGAGGCAAGAGAGGAGTGGGAGGGGGAACCGATGGGGGAAAAAGGGAAGTGAGACGGAGGGAATGGAGACATGGGAGAGGGATGGGAGGAGAGGAGCGGTGAAGGAAGGAAGGCGTGCGGCTGAGAGTGAGGGAAGAGGGACGGAGGGCGTGGGAAGGGAATGGGAGACTCAAGGGGAAAGTGAGGCATAGATGGAAGGGAGCGAGCGGTGGGTGGATGCGAGTGAGCGATGGGTGTGAGTGAGCAATATGAAGGGGAAACTATTCGAAGGGAAGGGGGGAACCTGCGCGTAGGGAAGGGAAGCTAAGGGAAGAGAGCGACGTGGGCGACGGGAGCGACGTGGGCGACGGGCGCGTCGTGGGCGACGGGAGCGACGTGGGCGACGGGCGCGACATGGGCGACGGGAGCGACGTGGGCGACGTGGGCGACGGGAGTGACGGGAGTGACGTGGTCGACGGGAGCGACGGTGGGCGACGGGAGCGACGTGGGCGACGGGAGCGACGTGGGCGATGGGAGGGACAGGAGGGACGAGAGGGACGGGAGGGACGGGAGCGACGGGAAGAGGGACGAGAGCGGGATGAGGGGCGGGAGGGACGAGAGGAGTGGGAGCGACGGGAGGAAGCAGCGCGGAGAAAAGGGCCGAAGCGCGAACGAAGGGAGTAAGGGCGAACGAGCGTGAGGGAGGGAAGAGCGTGTGATTGACGGGAGTGAAATGAACGACGGGCGTGAGTGAGCTGCGAGCGTACGTGACGATCTAAGGAAGCGAGGGCGACGGGCAGGGGCAAAGCAAGTGACAATCTAAGGAAGCGAGGGCGACAGCGACGAGAGCGACAAGGGCGACGAGAGCGACAAGGGCGACGAGAGCGATCGGCGGGACGTTACGTGTGTGACGGGGACGAGAGAGTCTGAATGGACGGGATTGAGTGTGCTGGGAGACAACTACAATATTCTACGCTATGGAGCCTCCTAGGTATCGAGTCTATTATGGTGAGTTTTGGCTTCAAGTTTCTGGAAGTATGAACAGTGACCCGTTTGAGGCGAAAGTGTTGATCATTTTACCAGAGTTGATTTCAACCAATCAGAAACACTTCATTCGAACCAAACCCCGTGGGTCGCGAGGGTGTGGAAGTCCCAAACCGGGTTACCTGGTTTTTGGCGATTTCTACTTCAAGAATCTTGAACTTGAACTCTAACCATTCTAGACTCGGGCTTTAAGGCTAGCCTATCGAACAGGGCCTACGTGTGATGCAGAGGAAGTTTCGTATCGTACTGAAGTCCCTAAAAGAATAAGCGCTGCTGCACTGCTGTTGCTCCTGTTATAAGTTGCCCATGGATTTGTATTGCAATGTGAAGCAACAGCTCCTCTTCTGCATCTTTCTCTCTACTAGCTGCATACATCTTTTGTTAGTTTTCTACTTCTTCCCCTCCTTTTGACCATTCCTTCAAACGATTAGACTTGCCTTAAAAGATATAGACCACATGTCCCAGGAGGACTTAATAAATGAATGAATTAGACTTAAAACACACCTTTACTTTGTGCTGTCTGTATCAGCCCTGCTTATCCTGTTATGGCACATCAAATATTTTTTCCAATATTGAAAATTTACTTGAACTCATGAGTAAGTGTTAGGAATTGGCAAAGTAACCCCTTCCCTACTGGTCAGAAAGAATCCATGCTGCTTTCTTTTTCATCAGCCTTATATTTCTTAGGTTCTTATATGGAAAATAATTGTTCACCTTACCGAAAGTCGAGGTTTCACTAACAAGGAATATTCAAAATTTGAAAACGCGTCGCATGTTTCCGTTTGCTGGGCTTTACCACAAACATTTTCAGGAAGTGTTCGCTTCTCCACTACTGAGTGAAGGAGGTTTGTCGCGAAGCCTCAAGAGAACCTGAGCAAACTGATTACGCCAAGGGACTTCGCCCAGACGGCCCAAGCCCTGGGCAGACGCAGTCTTTGACGAAATGTCAGTTCGAGTGTCTCAAGTTACGATGTAATAATACTGGACAACCGTGTCCCCTAGTGGGCCTTTCTGGGTCCCGCCCTTAGTAATTCCCCAACTTCATTTAGATGTTTTCTCCTTCACTCTCCTCCTGAATCCCACTACCCCGTAATGACTCGTAGTTGTTGGCATGACGAAAAAGACAGCCAGCCATTACTTGTATCTCTCTCCACGCTAGGAGCAAATAACTCGGCCAGATCTGTACCCGTTCTCTAAAATCGAGAGCTTTCGTAGCCACGTCCCAAAGAGCTTCGCATTTCCACTCGTTTTCCAGTCCGCCTCCAGCCGTCTTAATGCGAACGTGATGTCGCTGTGCCGCCCATTAGACTGCAGAAACACGGCCGATTCTGAGGCCCGTGCGGAGAAGCTGAAAGCATTCTCAGTGGCGTTTGAGCCGCCTCAAAATTCCCCCGCCGAGATCTGCAACGCATCCAACCAGCGGGAAGCCGGTGCGAAGAAGAGGGTTGAGCGGCGAAGGACCCTCGACGCGTGGTTGAAGCGACTCAAGCCGTCAACCGTTGACCCAGCGCGTACAAGCCCGGCTAAGTGCGACGCCACTCCTATCTCTCAATCCCAACTGATTGCAAACTTCGAAAATCCTTATCCTAGTCAATCCAACGGTCCTTATCCTCCATGTCGTCGAGATCCTGCTAAATCGTCTCCGGCACTTGGAGCGGCTCAGTGCACGGCCGCGTTGAGGCAATGCTCTGTTGCGGGGTCTGACGGGTTGCGTGAGAAGCATGCCGCCGCGTCTTTAGAGTCGAGTCGAAAGCCGCTCCGATCCTCCGATGCATCCGACGCATTGCGTGAGAGTTCTTTTGAATCGACTCAACAGTCACCCCTATCCTCCAATGCATCTGACGCACTGCCTGAGAACTCCCCCTCGTGTGACCTTGGGAGAGAATCGTGTAGTGTTGGGAGCGCATGCGATTCTCCGGCTCGCGAGATGATTCGTCCGGGTTTGGATGATCGCCGCTGCGACGCGCCGCCGTCGCCCACGTGTGAGGAGCCGATTGTAGCGACGGCGCGCGTTGTCACGTACAGGAGGCTCCGTCGAGTGATGGCTGACGGCGGGTGAGTGATGGCTGACGGCGGGTGAGTGATGGCTGACGGCGGGTGAGTGATGGCTGACGGCGGGTGAGTGATGGCTGACGGCGGGTGAGTGATGGCTGACGGCGGGTGAGTGATGGCTGACGGCGGGTGAGTGATGGCTGACGGCGAGTGAGTGATGGCTGACGGCGAGTGAGTGATGGCTGACGGCGGGTGAGTGATGGCTGACGGCGGGTGAGTGATGGCTGACGGCGGGTGAGTGATGGCTGACGGCGAGTGAGTGATGGCTGACGGCGGGTGAGTGATGGCTGACGGCGGGTGAGTGATGGCTGACGGCGGGTGAGTGATGGCTGACGGCGAGTGAGTGATGGCTGACGGCGAGTGAGTGATGGCTGACGGCGAGTGAGTGATGGCTGACGGCGAGTGAGTGATGGCTGACGGCGAGTGAGTGATGGCTGACGGCGGGTGAGTGATGGCTGACGGCGGGTGAGTGATGGCTGACGGCGAGTGAGTGATGGCTGACGGCGGGTGAGTGATGGCTGACGGCGGGTGAGTGATGGCTGACGGCGGGTGAGTGATGGCTGACGGCGAGTGAGTGATGGCTGACGGCGAGTGAGTGATGGCTGACGGCGAGTGAGTGATGGCTGACGGCGAGTGAGTGATGGCTGACGGCGAGTGAGTGATGGCTGACGGCGAGTGTGAAAGAATTGGCGCGAAAGAGGCGGATGGATTCTGTAAATTGACGGATGACTGACGGTTTTCGGCAGGTGTGGTAGGAACCCACAGACTTTCGTTTCCTTGTATCCGCTCTCTCTTCTGATTCTTTTAGTTCATTGGTCCACATTGCAATGCCTGTCAGCTCCCTTTACAGCCTCACTTTTCCGTAGGTCTTAAATGACCAGGACCTGCTTGTACCGCGTAAAAAATGATCGAACCGTTTCACACCCCTCTTGATGGCCAGCTCCACACCAGGCCACTCTGTTGGCGATTCACCTGGCAATTCTCCTGAAGTGTGCAACGCTTTCACAACCAAGAAGTCAGCAGCCGCAGCAACCATTCCAAGTGGATCTGCCTCGGGATTGCCTAGGAGGAGAATCGCAACCATTGCGGACTTCAAAGTCGTTTCGGCTCCTGCACCGTCAGCATCAGCAGAACGTCCACGTGGCACCTCCACGTTGGCCTCCTGGTTAAGGCAGGGGAATGGTTCCAGCAAGGAGAGGACAGGCGGAGCATCGTGTCCGTCGGATGCGCCTCGAGTGGACGATGAGTACGAGATCCAACGGCTGAGGAAGTCGAAGCTGAAGCGCAAGGCAGAGGCGAGCATAGGGGAAGAGAAGCAAGCAGATATTGAGGAACGACAGGGGCTGACGCAGGAGGGACAAGGGCAGGCAGCTTTTGAGGCGCCTCAAAAGGCGAGCATAGGGGAAGAGAAGCAAGCAGATATTGGGGATCGGCAAGGGCTGACGCAGCAGCAGGGGCAAGGGCAGGCAGGCGAGCAGGAGCAGAAAGATCAGAGGCGTGTTGAGAATGATGGGCGGGTGCACGAGGGGCAGCAGCAGCAGAAGCAGCAGCAGCGGCAGCGGAGGCAGGTGCAGGCGTGTTTGGACTTTGGGCAGAAGGACCTGCTGCACACCACGTGCCGGGTGTGCGGGTTCGTGTTTGCCAAGGGGCTTAAAGCGGACGAGGCAGCACACGACGCACACCACAGATTGTTCTGTGGCAATGTAATGATTCAGGTGAGAGGCGTGCTGTAGTGGACCTTGGAGGTAGGTGCAGGCGTGTTTGGGCTCTGGACAGAAGGACCTGCTACACACCACGTGCAGGGTGTGCGGGTTTGTGTTCGCTAAGGGGCTCAAGGCGGACGAGATGGCACATGAGGCACACCACAAGCTGTTCTGTGGGAATGTGACCTTCCAGGTGAGAAGGGTTCGTGCAGGGTTGGCTAGTCTCTTGACATATGGGACACGTGCCGGGTGTGCGGGTTCGTGTTTGCCAAGGGGCTCAAGGCGGACGAGATGGCACACGAGGCGCATCACAAGCTGTTCTGTGGCACTGTCACCATCCAGGTGAGAGAAGGGTTCCTGTAGGTCGCCTAGACCAGGGACCTGCTGCACTGCACGTGCCGGGTGTGCGGGTTCGTGTTCGCCAAGGCGCTCAAGGCACACGACGCACATCACAAGCTCTTCTGTGGCACTGTGACCGTCCAGGTGAGAAGGGTGCTGTAGGTTTGTCTGGAACAGGGTCACATGAGACGTGTGCCCTGTGTGTGTGTGGGTTCGTGTTCGCCAAGGGGATCAAGGCGGACGAAGCAGCGCATGAGGCACACCACAGGCTCTTCTGCGGCATTCTTGCCATCCCGGTGAGAGGGTAGAAGGTGGGGTGTCATTTGAATTCTGGGTGAGATGGCAAGGAGTGCATGCGTGCGTGTTTGCATGCCTGCCCAGGCTTTGCGCAAGAGAATCCGCGACATTGCTGCACTTCTCAACCCCATCTTAGATTTCCTCTTTTTTTTTTTGGTCATGTTCCTCTCCTCTACTTGTGAGTGCAGGGATGGAGGAACGAGCGGGTGGTGCACACTGTTTCAGAGAGCACTAGGGACGCACGCAACGCATGCTCCACAGGAGCAGGCGCTGCAGAGACCGCAGCAGGCAGAATAGTGCTCATCACCCACACAGACTGCACAGCAGTGCAGCTGGCAAAGGTGAGTTACTGTGCCAAGGAGCAGAAGGTGAGACGATGGGGGATTGCAGGGAGTGAAGGGAGTGAAGGAGCACAGGGAGTGCTGCACGGCGAATAGTGCTCATCACCCACGCAGACTGCACAGCAGTGCAGCTGGCAACGGTGAGATGATGAGTGAAGGGAGCAGAAGGTGAGCTTTTGAGCAGAATTGCAGGGAGTGAAGGGAGTGCAGCAGGGCGAATAGTGCTCATCACTCACGCAGACTGCACAGCAGTGCAGCTGGCAAAGGTGAGTTACTGTGCGCTTGACAGCGGTGCTTTCTGGTGCACTGCAGTGCACTGCGGTGTGGTGCGGTTTGGTGCAGTTTGGTGAGTAGCATGTGGACGCCTGGCACCGCAGGCAATCTTCAGGAGCTCATGATGCTGTTGCTCACTTGGAATGCTCTGCGATGCTCACGATGCTGTTGCTGACTGCAACTGAGGCCCTCACTGTTCTTTTTCACCTTCTTTCCTTTCAACAGTTTGACTGCACACCTGAAATGGACGCATGTATCTTTACCTCCCCACATGTTCTGCTCACACATCTCTCATCTCTCACTCCTCGTATCCGTTCACTCCCTCACCCCCACACCTGTGCTCCCCATCCAGATGCATGAGATAGCGGTGGTGTTGGAGAGGGCAATGGGTGTGAGCCCCACGTGGCTGCTGCTGGCACTTTTCTCACCTCTTTCGCCTTGACTCTCTGCGCCCTATCCCCTTCTCATAACATACAGATGCACGAGATAGCAGCGGTGTTGGAGAGGGCAATAGGTGTGAGTCCCACGTGGCTGCTGGGCGGTCAATGGAAGGTGAGCAGGGGGGGGTTTCAAGCTGTGCACTCTTGAACATGGAGTGGCAGGCTTATAGTGAGAGTGCTGGAGAGGGCTATGGGTGTGCGTCCCACGTGGCTGCTGGGCGACCAATGGAAGGTAAGCAACAGGGTGGTGAGTGGCTTGAGGGTACATGTTCGGTCTGTGAACAAGGCGACACGTCACAGGTTGGAGTTCTGGACAGGGCAATGGGTGTGAGCCCCACGTGGTTGCTGGGCGGCCAATGGAAGGTGAGCAGACAACAGCGGGAGTGTTGAGGGGTGTTTGAGAGGGGCATGAGCATCACACTCACGTGGCTGCAGGACGGCCAGTGGAAGGTGAGAAACAGCACCTAGTGGAAGGGGAATTGGTTGACCCTGCCTTTAAACACTCCCTCTCCCACTTTTACACGCCGTATCACCTACTCTTCCAACGCATTATCCCCATCCCTCGTCCCTCTCTCCCCCACAGGCATATCTGTACGTCCGTGGGAGGCAGCTGGTGGGGTGCCTCCCATGCCCAGCCAGGACATGCACATGTGCTATTGTTAATGAGAAATCTTTTGAGTCGACTCACACACACTCCGCACACACTCTTCCCATCCTCGTCCCTCTCTCCCCCACAGGCGTATCTGTACATTCGCGGGAAACAGCTGGTGGGGTGCCTTGTGGCCTTGTGGCATATCTGTACATTCCCAGGCGCACCTGGCATGAACACGTTACAATTGTAGCGAAGTGGATTTTGTCAAATCAAACGATCCACCACTCCTTGTCCCTCCCACCCCCCCTACAGGCATATCTGTACATTCGAGGGAAGCAGCTGATGGGGTGCCTTGTAGCCGAACCCATCTCCTAGGCGCACCCAGCATCTCTCGCCCCACCCACTCTCCCCATATCCCGTCCCTCTCCCCCCCACAGGCATATCTGTACATTCGAGGGAGCCAGCTGGTGGGGTGCCTTGTAGACGAACCCATCTCCCATGCGCACCCCGCATTCGCACGTTACCTTCCATGTGCCTTTGTCACATTTCTATTTAATCGTTTCACCACTCCTCATCCCTTAACCCCCAACAGGCGTATCTGTTTGTTCGTGGGAGGCAGCTGGTGGGGTGCCTTGTGGCTGAACCCATCTCCCATGCGCACCCCGCACAGGCACGGTCCATGCCACGAGATGGAATAGAAACAGCAGCAGAAACAGCAGAAGCAGCCGCAGCAGTCGCAAAAGCAACAGAAAGAGTGGCAGAAACAGCAGCAGCAACAACAGATTCCGTGGCAAGATCATTCGGTGCAGCAGAAGCAACACCAGCAGAAATGTCGGAAGCAGAAGCAGCTTCAGCAACACCAGATGCAGCGTCAGCGGCACAGTCAGCAGAGATGTGGTCAAAAGGTCAATCAGGGTTGTTCGAGCTATGTACCGACCCACCATACACCCCTACACCGTGTGTTGCTGAAGCGTTTCTTGAGGCGCCTAAAAAAAAGTCCTTCGAGCCATGCAACAACCCACCACACACCCCTACACCGTGTGTTGCTGAAGCAGGCACAGCCACACCTCACAACGTATCCTTATGCAACTTCAAAACACCCTGCGCACCACGCGCTTCTGCCTCTGAACCTGCAAACGAGCCAAGTGCAAGGGTGTGTGGCAAAAGGGAATCGCCAGAAGAGGCAGCAGAGCATCACATTCGTGAGGCTCCTCAGGAAGAGATTCAAGAAGGCGTGCTGTGTGCAGCTTCGAACCAGCCAAGTGCAAGGGTGTGTGCAAGAGTGTGTGGCTCAAGAGAAGCGCCAGAAGAATCAGCACTGCAGCTGTTTGGTGACGCTCCTGAAGAGGAGCAAAAGGACGAGATATGTGCAGCGGTGTGTGGGGTGAGGGTGATCTGGGTGCACCCAGCGCACAGGAGGAGAGGCGTTGCCACTGAGATGATGAAGACTGTGAGGTGGGTTGCGCGTATATGTGTTTGTTTAGTGTGCGAGTGTGTGTGTGCGTGTGCGTGTGGAAAGGGGGTGAGGGCCCTCTGGTTGCTCCCAGCGCACAGGAGTTGAGGCGTTGCCACTGAGATGATGAAGGCAGTGAGGTGGGATGTGTGCGTGTGTGTGTGGAGCGTGGGGAGGGCGATCTGGGGGGAGGGCGATCTGGGGGGAGGGCGATCTGGGGGGAGGGCGATCTGGGGGGAGGGCGATCTGGGGTGAGGGCAATCTGGGTGCACCCGGTGTGTGTGTGTGTGTGTGTGTGTGTGTGTGTGTGCGTGTGTGTGTGTGTGTGTGCGTGTGCATGGGGGTGGTGTGGGAGGGTGGGTGGGAGGGGTTGTGCGTGCACCTGGCACACAGGAGTTGAGGCGTTGCCACTGAGATGATGAAGGCTGTGAGGTGGGATGTGTGCGTGTGTGTGTGGAGGGGGGGAGGGAGGAGGAGGTTTGGAAGAAGGGGTGAGGGCGATCTGGGAGCACCCGGCACACAGGAGTGTGTGTGTGTGTGCGCGCGCGTGCACGCGCGTGCATGTGTCCATGCAGGTGTGTATGCACGAGCGCATGTGTGTGTGCGTGCATGTGTGTGCGCGCGCGCGTGCACGCGAGCGTGTGTGTGTGAGTGCGTGTGTGTTTGTGCGTGCATGTTTGTGTGCGCGACGTGTGTGTCTCTGTGTGCGTGTGTGTGTGTGTGAGTGTGCCTGTGTGCATGTGTATGCATACGTGCACGGGTGCATGCACATCCACGTCTTGTGTGTGTTTCCGTTCTCTGTAGCTTCTTTTTCCATGCGTCTTCCTCTCCCTTCTCTCTTCCCATTCTATTCTCCCTTCCCCAAACGCAGCTGATCACATACCCTTTTACCTCGCCCATTCTCTTTCACCTTTCCCATGCCCTCCGTTTCACCTCTCCCTTCGCTTCCTTCCACACCCCCGCCGTTACATTCACAATGTATTGTTCATCCTATTACATCCCATCCCAACCCTAACCCAATTCCAACAAACCCCCTTCACTGCAGCATCTCCTTTGCACATGCATGCTCGCTCTCCCTGTCTTCTCCCCCTCACTTTTCCCCCACACTCATGAATGGTCACCTTCCTTCCCTCTCCCCACCCCCTTTGCCTGACCATTTCTCACCCCACTCCCCACTTCCACCCACCCCCCCCTCTATGCCTGCTCGTCCTCGTATACAGCAGCATCTCCTTTGCCTATGCCTGCCAGTTCTCACCGCCATGCCTGACCATCTCTCACTGTCTCCCCACTTCCCCATTCCACCCCCTCCCCCTATTTGTCTCCTTTCTCTTATACTGCAGCATCTCCTTCGCTTATGCCTGCCAGCTCTCACCGACCCAAATTGCATTCTCGCAGCCAACTGAGTCAGGCAGGGCCTTCGCTGCTGCGCTCTGCCGTCCCCAGCCCTTTCTGGTGTACAAATAGTACTTGCTGCTGGTATTCCACACGTGATTCCAAGTCAAGACAGAGCAGCGTTGGTCAGATAACAAAGAGGGGTCGACACACAAGTTCCACAAATGGGTCTGTCCACTATTGTTTCATTCTTTGAATTTCATAAGCTATGGTAATGAAAATCAAAGTGGTACACAACTTACTACTGTTACAGCACAGCCTACATGAGAGATTTTTAGGGCGATGTCTTGGTCCTTATACAGTGAACCTTAGAAGCACCGTCTATTGACCAGCTGAAGGGAATGCATAAGACACATATACAGCCCCCCTCCCAGATGCTGCTGTGTTGTGTTGTATCATCAGCTGCTCCGTTTCCTGTTACTGCTGTTCTGGCTGCTTCTGCTGATAATTGCTGCTGCATTTCTAGTCAAATATACGCTATAAGATGGTTTCTAGAGTTGTACTCTGGCATGGTAACCCACTCTTCTAAAATTACTCCTGATCAGGTGCTTTTCCTCCTGTTGCTGTTGCTGCTAGTCTATCCACCACCACCACTGCTGCTGCTGCTGCTGCTTCTGCTTCAGTTGCTGCAGCTGCTGCAGCTTTTCCCGACTCCACCGATACTGCGTTGCTCGCAGGCTTACCAACTGGCTGATTCTGCCCTTCACTACTGTGAGGTGTGACTAAACTCGATGTTATTACAGCGGGAACATTTGAATCGAGTGGAGGTGTGAGCTTCTCGCCTGCTGAAGCTGACTCGGCTGCAGGCGAAACTTCTCCAGTTGCAGCTGTAATTGGCGGCTCTGTATCTGCTGCATGTGCAATAGACTCGTTAGTAGCAGCTGCGTTAGTAGCAGCGGAGATCACTGTAGAAGTTACTGTAGATCCGACAGCTGCTGAAGCTAACTTCTTGTTCCTCAAATGTGCCTCCCTGGCAAGTGCTGATCTCCCATTGGCTGTGTGCAGGCCAGTGCTTCTGATCTGGGCCTCTAGCAGTGTGACATGTGTGTCAATTTCCACCAATCGGCTGCTCCAAAATACCGACCAATAGGTGATGATGGGATGCCAAATCGGATGGCAGAAACGACCACCAAGAATGTTTGTGGAAAAGGTCATGGAGTGCGGGAGTGGACGGGAGTGGGGGAGAAAGAGGGGCGGGGGAGAAAGAGGGGCGGGGGAGAAAGAGGGGCGGGGAAGAGAAGAATTGGACGCATGAGGGGTGGGAAGGAGAAGGGTGGAGAAGAATAGGAGCGGGAGTTGGAGGGGAATGAGGATCAACGAGGTATGGAAGACAAAGGGGAGGATCCATGTCAGGTGACAGAGCGAACGGGGAAGGTTGAAAGGAAGCAGGAGAGAGTGAAAGGAGAAATGCAGACAAGCGCTGCTGCACACATGCATACGCCACAAGTGCAGCAAGTTATCAAGAGCAGTTCATTTTAAATGGTGAAAATCAACTGGTCTCAACAACAGTAACAAGCAAGCACCATGAGGGCTAATGGGCCCTGTCGATTCATTTTATGACGCTTGATCAACATGGTATGACGCCTAGAAAAAAAAATATACAATTATAAATAATGATGGCGGCTCAACAACCCATGACGACTTGCCTGGCGGGGTGCATCAATAGAAACTCAGAGAGATCGAGTTCACTCACAGGTGCAGAGAGGTGACTCATAGGTGGAGAGAGGTGACTCATAGGTGCAGAGAGGTGACTTATAGGTGCAGAGAGGTGACTCACAGGTGCAGCGACGCGACTCACAAGTGTAGCGATTGGAGCTTAGATTCGCACGACGCGGAGAAGGCGTTGAGCAGCCTCACTGTTCGGTCAACGAAAACATTCACCTGCCGTTGTCCGCGAACATCAGTAACGCAACGAGATGATACGCGAATCAGAATTTGGTTTCGGTAAGAATTTTACTGTAGATCCACGCGCACATAGCGAGTTCAATTGTTGATAATCCGAAGCGCAAACGTGGGTGGACGGGACAGGACGTGACTAGAAATCTATGATGCTAGAGGCCAGCGCGTAACCAGAAAGATTGCCTCGCCTGGGAACGACGCCGTCAAGATTATAGGACTCAAAAGGGTTCTCGAGGCGCTCGGAAGGAAATCAATTCAGGAGTAGAACAGAATTGGCAGCAATAGCGACCACAGCGACGGGTTAAAAGGGGGTGAGGGAAAGAGAGGCAAGAAGGCTCGAGAAAAGAACAATGGAGAGTGGAAGTGAAGAGCAACAGGCGTCGCAAACGGCACGCATCGCATCCACTGCCCGCGCCTAGCCTAACCGACTCACAAGAATCACGGTTCGCTGATCCTCGGGAGCCGCCATAGCAGATAAGGATGGACAAATCAGGACCAAATTGCTGAATACATGTATATGTAAATTAAATTTTGCGACTCAGACATGGCCGATTGTCAGTTGACAGTCGGAGTTCGAATCCCACTGGCGATGATATGAACTCTCCGACGGAGTGGATGATCCACAACCCGTCAACCTCCGAAGACAAATTAGCCCCTGCTTGGCACATGGCAGGCTAAAGAGGAGTAGAGAACAATATGAGCCACGTCATTTTTGTTGCTTCTTCCAAAATAGGCTATTTTGTTGCTTCTAACGTACAAGCTGATTGGTGCTTCTAACCTCTTTACCAAGATATCTATTGCTTTTGATCTAGGGTCAAAACTATGGTGTCTAATCTACTGATGCACGCCTCCTGGCAAGAAGCCCATATGACACTCTGTGTCCAAGTGAGTTTTTGCGTCTATAGAAACACGATATATGTACATAAGGGGCAGGTGGAGGAGGTGGTATTAGAGATTCAACGTTTGCTCACCATATCATATTTTTGTGTAACGCAAATGTCTAAGACTATGTTTCTCCGCAAACCGAATTGTTAACTCTTCTCAACGGGAACTTCTTTGTTGCTCGGGATGAAAGCCTCTCATTGGCTCCGAGGGTTTCCTCCGAGGCGCTCGTCTGACACCCACGTCGTGGCCCATCTGCGCGACCGAAAACACCACCAACGCCCCATCCTCTCGCATTTGCCGAAGTCAAGAAGTGCGCTCTTGAGGGCTGCCCTGCCAGTCACATTCCGTTCTGTCGCCATCGCCTTTCGGCCACAAGTCTCTGGGAAAATATACACCGACTGTTTTTGCCGCAAAAACACACTTCACCATTCTTCATCTGGACAAGATTCGTTGCGGGCTGCACTGGAACAAATTTGCCTGTGACCAGCTTTTTGTATCGCTGACGCGAGTGCGTTCCTTGGGAATGTCGCTGCAGGCTCCAGTGGCGTCGATGTTCCTGAACCGGAGACGGTACCTAGGCACGTCATTTGATTTTCAGAAGTCCTTACGACGTCATCAGTGTTTATTCTCAGGCCTGGTTTGTGTGATGGTTGATAGCCGAAGCCGACGCCTGATGAAGCAGCTTGTTCTGCCATTGCAGAGACATTGTCGCACTAGAGCCCGGTAGGACGCAGCTACTTCACGACAGGACCCAGGAGTTTCTCTTTGCACAGAGCTGCTCGTTGTTACCGCTTTCAATAGAAGCCTTATTAAGCACCACTCTGTTGTAGAACATAGACGATAATAAGCAGTCACATACTACTAGTGGGAGTAGCTCCACCGACTCCCATTGTTGATAGCGAAAACATCTGTCGTCGCTGTAAATACCTGGACAGGTCATATTCCAGTGGCCAGCTTAGCTCAGGTGGATATCAATAATAACTTGGCAAAGTCTCGTTTCTCCGTATTAAATGTTTATCGTCCATTACGCGAATGGCGCGTAACTGTCAACCGCAGGAATGAATCATTACTAGTCGTTTAGACGCTACTGTCACAAGAGCAGCCGTAGCCATCTCTCCCACCTTGTTATATGGGATATCCATCTGTTGATAGAGAGTGGGAGAGCCAGTCATTGCTAATCCACCGACGAACTGTTTTGAAATCGACAATGACTGACGGAAACGTTTCTTCCTCTGTTGGCTTCTCCGAATCTTCTCAACCATCTGCCAATGGCTCCTATCCGAGCACCAACGGACACGTCAGCCAGCCTGATGGGTCAGCTACCGCGAAGGCAACGCCAGCTGCTATCTCAGACCGTACAGATGGTTATGCGACCACAGACAATGGCGAAGCGAAGACCGACATCTCGCTGCAAGGCCTGTCTCTATCAGGTTCATCGAGCTTGGCTCAGCGAGCGAGCTTGGAACGGAACTGGCTGCGCCAGTGCGCGCCGATATTCTTGCATCCGACGCACGACATTCGCGCTGGTCACGCGCTCGTGCGCGTGTTTTTCCGCTTTGTGCGGGAAGGGGAGGAGGCGGAAGCCCGCTCGCGCGGAAAGGAATGGACGGACTACATGGCTGCGGGGGAAGATTTCGTGGAATGGGAGGAAGAGGCGGAAGCATGCGGGAAAAACGGGGAACGTGGAGGCGAGAATGGAGCGGAACTAGCGGCAGAGTTAAGAGGAGCGGTTGGAGAGAGGGGAGTAGAGGCGAGAGGTGAAGCTGTTAATGGGGATAACGCCGATGACTTGTTGTGCGAGCTGGTGGTGGTGTACGAGGTGAGGCAGGAGAAGTAAGGATTGAGCACCGTTTTCCCTGAGCCGTTACGCTTTTCGATATATTTTTTTTCCTGGATATTACAGGCAATGTCTAGGTCAAGAGAGGGAACGACATGTTGCAACATCTTGACTGTGGTCACCTTTTCGCATGACACCTATCTTCTTCTATGTTACTGACAGGGCGAGGCGAGCTATCGTCGGCAGAACCCTTATCAGGTCAACCACATGGCCACCTTCTTCTACATGTCCTTCAACAAGATAGTGTACGTCTTTCTTTCTTCCAACAGTTTCACATGCTCATTTCCGACTCCCAAGCACATGCCTATCCATGACATAACTTAGGCCGTCTTTTTTACATCATTACCCTCTTTTTAACTTATGTCTTGCCTGCAGGTTTGGCAGAACTGCGGACATTGACTATTTAACGGTAACAGGTGTCAACCTCTCATTGGACCCCAGCAGGAAGCCATGGAGGAGCGTGCGCACCACTGATCACTGCGGCACTCAGGTGAGGAGGGAGGAAAGGGATCGCACAAGACGACAGGGCGAGGACGAGGGGAAACTGACAGAAGCGAGAAGGGCTTGCGGTCAGCTCAAGGGTCAGATGGGGTTGCAATGAAGGTCATGGGGAACATGTGGACGAGTGCGCGCACAAGCAGCCAGCCACTGCAGCACTCAGGTGCGGACGAAGGGAGAAGGCAAGAGGAATGGAGAGAAGGTGAGTGACAGGAGCACAAAAGGAATACGGCACCAATGAGTGAGAGGAAAAAGAGCGAGTATGAGGAAAGTCTTGCGCGCACGATGGCAGGAGACCATGGCATGGGTAGAATTTTGGCACGTGGCAATGCCGTTATTAACTTCTGAGGATCATCAGAAGCAGTGATGCTGTTCCGTGAGCTTGTTCGACTCTTCTTAGTTACCAGCATTAAGTGCTGTGATGTGACTGCTGTGCATCTAGCTACTATGCATTGGACTGGTATGCATCTGACAGCTATTTTTCTGACTCTTATGCATCTACTTCCTTGTATGCTGATGAGCAGACATGGTCGCAGGGCAACAAGGCCGATTTAGCTTGGTGGCTCTCTCTCTTCCATCACTACACTGTAGACGTGCCCTATGAGGAACTGCAGGTATGATACCGAGTCAGAGTTTTGAGTCGACTTAAAAATGATCCCTCTCTTCCACCGATACGCTGTGGACGTGCCGGTTGATGAACTGCAGGTATGTTACCGCGATAGAGTCAACCCTTGACCCTCGTCCATCATACACTGCCGAGATATCTTAAGAGATAGTTGTCACTATCTCACCTCTTATGGTCGAGCTGGTCGAGCTAAGCTCGATTACCTTACAGCAATACACTGTGGAGGTTTTGGCACTTGATTGGTAAACAGGAAGTGGGGAGCGTGGAGATTGATAGTCTGCCAGCTTGAATCAGCAAATGATGTGCTAAAAATCTAATAGTTCATTTGTTCTGCTGTAGAATGCAGCAATAGAACTGTTGCTGCATCACCGTTTACCTCTGTCCATTCCTCCTCGACTCTACATTGCACCTCTTGTTGCATTCTCACTTCTTGATTCCTCTCTCTCCCTTCCACCTCGCACCATCTCACCTCATTCCAGACCCTTCATTCCCCATTCCGCCCCCTCCATCCCTGATTCCGTCCTCTTCGCCCCCTTTCTGCCATCCCCAGCCCCCATTCCGCCCTCTCTACATTTTGGCCCCTTTGGATCCCAGATGTCTACCTTCCATTTGAGTCTTTAATCCCCTCCCTTCCCATGTATGAGCCTCATTCTCTTTTTGTGTCTCCATCCCCACCCCCCCGATTCCCCTCAAAACGCAGAAGGACGAGCAGGCAAAGCACCGCCCTATTATTTATGTGAACACAGCGAACCATCTCATGGGGGAGACTAACGCCAACCCTGAGTTCCCACTAACCACTTGGAAGCACTACCCGCTACACCGAGGGGGTCCTCCTGAAGCTGAGCTCTTTGCACGGAGGAGCATACTGAGCAAGCCCATTCTGTGGAACCCTTTTCCTGGCTGTTTGAGTCGCTGCTCCTGTTGACTCTGAAGTTCCATGAAGCACCTGCCCCCTACACCGGGGGGGACCTCCTGAAGCTGAGCTCTTTGCACGGAGGAGGATACTGAGCAAGCCCATTCTGTGGAACCCTTTTCCGGATGTTTGAGTTGCTCTTGCTCTTGAATTGACTCAGAACACCCTTGATGCACTACCTGCGTCACTGTGGGGGTCTCTGGAGCTTGGATTTTTGCACACACGAGCATACTGAGCAGGCTGATTATGTGGAGCATTTTCTCTACATGGGTGGGTGCTTCACTGAACGGGGGTCATGTTCAGCCACTTCCTGTATTTATCACAATAAATACTTACACTATAGTGAAGAATTGTTCTTGCAGAGGGAGGTGGGGGAAAGAGGGGTGGTACCCAAGGGACTGGGTTGGTGCGCATAGCACGGGATGGCACAACATGCACCTCAGCTTGGGCCCCTGACATCTCGCCCTCTTCAACGCACATCCTCCTACCTTGTAGAGTCTCCGTTTTACCCCTCTGCACTTCTCCCATTGTTCAAACTGACAAGCACAGCCACACCTAACGACAGGGGACCACGAGCTTGAAGAGCACTAATTGACATTCATGCAATAGGTGATTAGATGCAGTGGTGACTATGCACCATGCAATAGGTGATTAGATGCAGTGGTGACTATGCACCTTCTTTCAATGAAAAGACAGTCTAGGTCACATGGTCCATCGTGCTACCTACCACATTGCAGTTTGGCACCTGACAAGTTGACAACGCCTGGCTCCAGCTTTCGCCATTCCTAAGGGGCCAGAAGATCCCACGGCGGCGCGCGCGGACACAGCAGCACCGCTTATTCAACCTTCGCCAGCAGCGATCTGGACTGCACTCTGCGAAGATCGCACCCCCCGATGATGCCGCGCGCGCATCATCTGGGGGAAACAATTACTTCAGCACACCTCTTTTCATGAAGCCACGTGATCTCATGAAGTCTGGCTAGGATAGAATCGTTCACCTCCTCTGCGACACGCATTTGTTCTTCAGTCTGTCCCAGTTCTGCTGGATCAGAAACCGCATGCCTTTCATCCCAACGAGATTGTACTCGTATGTGTTACCACGGTCGTCGCGACCCTTTTTCGTCGCCCCGACCTCGTACGAGCACTTGTCCGCATTCTCCTCGCCTGCTGCGTCGAACCATCCATACTCAGCGTCGGGATCCGTCGCTGCCTCTGCGACTTCGTGTGCGATGGTGGAAACCGTCGCATCGATCCCAGGTTTGCCGTTGGGCGACGTACTCTGCCCCCCGCATCCGTCCAAACACTGCCCGTGATGCCCCACGAACGAGTATACAACTCCATTTGATCCGATATAGTCCATGGTGTGATATCCGCAATAATCGCTACAGTAACCAGGGACCATAACATCCTTGCTTGTCAGAAGCAAGTAGATCCCGTGCGGGTCGTACGCGAATGCCTTTCCGGAGCCAATCTTGCTTGAAACAACTGCGAAGGACAGAAGTGTGACGTGGATGTTCGGAGCTTTGTGAAGCAGACTAAATTTAACAACAATATGCAGAAATGAAATTTAACAGCTCTAGCACTGTACTGCTGGGACAGGACATCAAGTACATCCCAATGCGGCGACGGGAGACCTCGAAAAACCTCGGCCTGCTTACCTTGCCAGACCGTGTTGTCGCCTAATTGCTTGCCGGCAGAATAGTTGTCGTTGACAGTCCCCGAGAGTCGCACCTGTGTGAAGGGAAAGTCGGAATGCACAGTTGAAGCATTGAGAAACTGTAGGTGGTGGTTGAGATGGCTTGCGGCCGTAAGTTGAAAACGGCGATCGGAGCGATTTTTTTTTTCCAAAGCTCCACTCATGCGGGATGACAACCCGTATGGTAAAGAGCTGCGGCGCCATCCGTTCGTGTGTGAATAACGCCGTTGTCTATTCCTTTGGAACGCCACACAGGATTCGTGTGTGAATAACGCCGTTGTCTATTCCTTTGGAACGCCACACAGGACGGGTCGTACCTTTCTGCTGACGTTCCTCTTCCCGCCGTCCGTTTTCTGGAAGTACGGCTCGTTGATCATCCACCAGAATTTCACTTTCGGCTCCGACGGTTCCCCTTGCCGGTGAGAGTCTCTGCTCAGCGATCGGATGAAATTCTCGATCACATTCTGCCCGGATCCTGCCGGCCAGTTGCCGTAGTAAATTATGTACACATTGACGGACGGGTTTCCGACCATAACGGGTCCTCCCCAGTACTGCATCGGCGCGCCGCCGCCGCCGCTTTCGCCGCTTGCGCGCTCTTTTTCAAAGTGGGCCTTCGTTTCGAACAGATGCATCGGCGGCCGGTCTCCGCGTTTGACGATGTCGGTTAGCCGGCGCTGCCGGCGGAAAGCCTCGTGCGCCTGCCGTGTGCGGGCGACGCGTCTCGGTGCAACGGCGGATGCGATAGGAAGTGGCGAGAGGGAGGCGACGGTGAAAAGAGCAAGCAGCAGTAGAACTCTACCAGTGAATGTCGACATTCTTTTTCGCTAATGGCGACCAAAAGTACGAGCCCAGGGGTGGGAGGGAGAGGATTGTTCTATGTCTGTAGTGGTCGTCGATCTAGACCCGACTAAGTGCGGGATTGCGTTTTGGATGCAAACAGTGATTGAAGAGAAGCCTCAAAGCGGGCGGCACTAGTTGATGAGGAACCAGCGAATCTGCCACTGTCGAGAAAGAAACGCTTGCACAAAGCGCTAATTCAGGTTTACAGTATTTACATGCCTGAGGATTTATGGCGAGACTCTCAACCAAACCTCAAGGAAGGCAGTGGAGGAGGTCGCCGTGTGTGAGGGACGTCGGTGCTGCTGCTGATCCGAATTCCACAATTATTGCCGTGTTCCCCCAGCCAGTTGCCTCAGAACGCGGCTCCGACTCGGAAGCTACTGTACACGCCACTGTGTCGAACGCCCTCTGCACTAAACCGCTTTGAAACTTACTAAAACGCACTCGAACTCGTGGAAAACCACTCTCGTGTTGAAGCCGGACTCCGTAACGGCGAACGTCGGGCTTGCTGCGGCTCCAGCTTTCAATGTGCGCCTCCCGGCAATGTCAAAATGTTTCTGTCTCCGCCACAGAAAATTTCAGGTGTTGAAATCGGGCGAAGTGAGCTTCGCTTGTCGAAAACTCGAAGGGATTCTGTTACAGGCGCAATTAGTGTTACGAGTTAGTAAGCTGACTATTTGAACGAGTATACACTAAAAATGACGATACAAGGTAGCAGGAATCCTAACAAGGTAGCAGGAATCCTAACTAGGCAGTACGGTAACATCAGGTCGGGTGCAGGTTGGTCACAGGATAAGCCCAGTGCAACGCAACGCAAGATAGCCTTGGTTCAAATTCAAAGCTGTCATCATAGCACATGAAAATGACTGAAATGGCCCTAAAATGATATTAAAGAATAGTGTTTGGTATGCACAGGACAGACGAAATGGATTCACACAATGTCACATAAAATCATCCTCAATATCCTGTACAGTTTTCCCTTCCATCTTTGCCGCAATATCTTTATTTGACGTCATTTTCTTCTCCACCATTATGCCCTTGTAACTCCGTAACTCCGCCTGTTTCTGCTTTAGAGCTTTCTCCTCCTGCTCGCGCCGGGCCTGAGAAACCCATCCATAAGTGGGGGAAGAGGGTGGCGGGAGATATGGGGAGAGGGGGGGAAGGGGGGAGAGGAAGAAGGGTGGGGAGGGGGGGGGGGAGAGGAAGAAGGGTGGGGAGGGGGGGGAGATGGGGAGGGGAGGAGAAGGATCACACATTGTTTCTATTGTAACTGTCATGCCTTGAGCCTATCAATCGTAAATTGGCTCTATGTCCTAGACAGCCTGCATTAGGCACAGAAAAGATCGCAGAAAATGTAAAGGGACCACTAAACGTGGCAGAAAATGAAAAGAAACCACGAAAGTTTCGCTCTCTCACCTGTTTTCTGAGAACTACCTTCCTTGCTGCTCGGTCCTCTGCCTCTTGAGGCGCCTCAAAAGTTATGCACACAAAAGGTGGCAGTCAATGTGAAGAAAAGAAGCCACCAAAGATTCGCTCTCACCTGTTCTCTAAGAACTGCCTTCCTTGCTGCTCGGTCCTCTGCCTCTCTCGCCTCCTTCTCAGCTGCACACACACACAGCAGAGGCCACCATGGATGGAGCACTGCTACGTTGCGGGAAAAGACTTTTGAGGAGAGGTCACCAGTGGAGAATTGCTAGGTTGGGTGAAAAGAAGACGCTAATTTAAATGAGGCATTGGGAAGCATCAAGCTGGGAGAAAATGCCTGTTGACTCAAGTAATAATTTAAATACACCCACTCAGAATCACCCACCCTAAGAACCACCCAACAGCACCAGTGAACTACACGAGTAACCCCCCTACACCCTTGTCAACCCAGCCATACACCCACTTCACTTCGGCCCACCTTGCAGGTGAGATGTGCGCCCGACCTTGGTTTCATTCTGCCTGTTCACCAGCTCACGAGAACCGCTTCAACAAATTTCAACCCATCCCTCACCCCCTTTTCGCCCATTTCAACCCATTGCTCACCATCTCCTCACCCACCACAATCCACCTTGCAGGTCAAGCGTCCTTTCCACCTCGGTCTTGTTCAGCCGGTTCACCACCTCATTAAGTCGGTTCACCCCTCCACAGCCACTTCAACCGCAATACCCCCATTTCAACCCACCCACCTTGCAGATCAGGTGTCCTCTCCACCTTGGTCTTGTTCAGCCGGTTCACCACTCCATTAAGAACCAGTTCAACCTGTTACAACCTATGTTCTAGCATCTCTGAACCCACTTCAACCCAGTGCTACCATCTCTAACCCCTATTCACCCACCTTGCAGGTCAGGCGTCCTTTCCACCTTGGTCTTGTTCAGCCGGTTCACCACCTCGTTGAGTCGCTTCTCCACCCGAACACTCCGCACCACCTTGGGGTTATGAAACCCGACCTGTTGAAGAGTGATGTTTATATGGCGGATAAAGTGTAACAATTAGTATTATTGCCACCTCATTGAGTCGCTTCTCCACTCGCACGCACAATCCGCACTGCCTTGGGGTTGCGAAACCCGACCTGTAAACCAGTCATGTTTATATGGGGAATGGGGTGTGAAACCCCACCTGCCCCACATTCCACCTGCCCCACATTCCACCTGCCCCACATTCCACCTGCCCCACTTTCCACCTGCCCTGCGTCCCATCTGACCCTTGTCTGCCCCATGCATCCTCACCAGCCTCACGCCCATGGAAGCTGCCTCTCGCATATTGGCCCAGGGCATGAATCAATGCTCCTCATTGCCACTCTCCTCCAAGTCTCACCTGCCCCACATCCATGGAAGCGGCCTTTCGAAGGTTGGCCCAGGGCGTGTAGACGACATCACTCAATGCTCCTCATTGCCACTCTCCTCCAGGTCCCACCTCCTCCAAGTCTCACCTCCTCCAAGTCTCACCTCCTCCAAGTCTCACCTGCCCAACGTCCATGGAAGCTGCCTTTCGCAGGTTGGCCCAGGGCGTGTAGACAACGTCAATGTTGTTCTGCTTGTTGCCTGCAGGTGCCATGGGGGGGTGGGGTAGGGCGGGGGGGGGGGGGGGGGGAGAGACAATACAGTGGGTTCAGACCGAGTGCACACTTTACAGAGGGCGTGTAGACCACATCAGTGTTGTTCTGCTTGTTGCCTGCGCGTGCCATGGGGGGGGGGGGGGGGTGTAAAGGGGGGGTTGAACCGCTCTGAACCCACCGATAATGGAGTTGGCCTTGACCAGCTGTGCACAGTCCTCCAGCATCTCAGGCGTGACGTCATCAATGCCCTACCCCTTGCGCAGCCGGACTATCCGCCACCCCTCCCAACACCTGCCAACCACTCCCGAGTCCATAAACTCCCTCCGGTAAGAAATTCGCCCTCCACCCTTTCCAACCACTGGGAACGGCTCTCAATCCACTCCTGATTGTGCTGGCTGGTCTCCCCCCCCTCCCCCCCCTCCCCAGCCACTCTCAACCGCTCTGAACCCACCCATAATGGAGTTGGCCTTGACGAGCTGCGCGCAGTCCTCCAGCATCTCGGGTGTGACGTCATCAATGCCCTGCCCCTTGCGCAGCCGCAGGTACACGTGTGCAGACGAGAGCTTGTCCACGTGGAACCTTCACCACACAAATAATCAGGGGAAAAGGGGGTCCGGACAGGGCGGAAGAGGAAGGGAAGTGGGGTGGGGGAAGGGGGGAGGGGAGGGGCGAATGGGAAATGGGGGACGCTGGAGGGTCGGGGTTTGGTAAGTCCACAAGTCCTCACCGTGTACAAGTGTGCTTGATTGCTTGCCCCCAAAATAGCCACGTGTAGAGAGGGTGTTTCTGGGACGTCTCAGAAACACCCTCTCTACACGTGGAAAGGGGGGACGCTGGAGGGTTGGGGTTTGGTAAGTCCACAAGTCCTTACCGTGTACACGTGTGCTTGACTGCTGAAATTTCTTGTTTATGCTTGCCCCAAAAACCTCGTTACAAACCTCTTCGCAATGCACCATACGTCCCCTCAACAATCCTCGATAAACGCAGATTAGACGCACCATATGTCCTCGGGGAAGCCGTATTTGATGAGCTGTTCGTTCTCGTACTTGTCGAGTCCCATGTAGATGGTGAAATCGCCCGCTTCGGGGCGCACTTTGAAGTAAAAAACCATCGCGACGAACAGCGGGGGTAGCTGCGGCAGCTAACCACGTGGCAATTGCGGAGCGATGGCCTCTCCACGTCAGCTGAACGAGAACCTCAAATCGAAAATCGTATTGACACGGAGTATGCTCGATCCGGGAGCTAAAACAACGCCGGAATTACGAAATAGGTACTCGCCGCGTTTTGCGAAACAACGCAGAAAATACGAATTAGGTATTTGCCGCGTTTTCTGAAACAATGCTGGTTGCAGAACCCAGCGACGTCAACTCCCACGCTAGCTAATAAGCATGACGAGCGGGAAACTCAGCGCCACAGAGCGGAGCATTATTCGAACGTGAAAGGGCGATCGTCGATTCCTAGGCTAGAAGGTCAAGTATGCTTCTTGCGGAGTCAAGGGTTTAGGTTATTGGTACTACATAAGCGAACCCTGAGTGCGTGTGGTGTAGTCGTACCAATCAGTGTGCGCCCCCATATAAAGAAAGGAGTGTTGCATGGCGAGTTGCGACACGAAATACTTCGGGGACGAGGGCAACGAAATATTGCTTTCGCTAACCCAGCCAATGTCGTAGGGCTGCGACCTCCGAACCTAAACCATGGTTACCCACGCGAATAACACCAGCTCACCATACCACACTCGCGAATCTTGCGAGCACAAGACACGTTTGGTAGTCGGGCGCCTGCCGCAGCCGAACTGTTTGGCTTGCAGCCAATCGCAGCTGCACGAAACCGAACCGACAGTTACCCGGTTTCAAGCATCTCACCCTTGATTGGAAACAAGAAATTTGAGACACGGAAGATGTGAGACAAAACGCTCACGGCCAACTTCATTGATACTCAAATTATGCCTGACGCGGTTTGCAAGCGTACTCAACTTAGATTTCTCATCGCTGATTGGTACTCGTTTTTCAATCACATTTTTCAGGCTAGAACACCTCCGAAATGTGATAGAGACAGAACGCGATAACCTAACTTAATTAGACAATATTGTGTGGGGGTGCTACCTTACAAAAGAGCATTGAATACTCAATCCTTTACAAAGAAAAATTTTAAGGTAAAGGTAAAAAACCCATTGGAAAATAATGCAGACTAGGAATAACTTAATGGAATAGGGTCGACGACATCATGCGACAATGATTTAAGGGTTGATGCCATCCTTACTGGATGCCTTTCAGTAGGAGGGCTGTTTTTTCATGCCTTTCGGGTAGCAAGCTCCGCTGGGCGGTGTTGTTTGTTGTAGCATAAAAACCTCAACACTATACGCCATCCCGTATTTACGGTTAACATTACCAGATTATTTCTTGGTTATCCAAGCGTTTTAGTATGTTCCCTTTTTGGATGGGTATGTGCGTGTTATGAATTGTTGGAAACAATAAAACTTAAGCGCTTCAGTCGTGTCGAAAACACCGCATCAGAAGCGAGGCAAACTACACCGAAGCACCCGCGAGTCAACCCTCGGGGGTTGAAGAGGTTGCTGGAGGTTACGCGAAAGTCAAAGGTCAGCGATCTTTGACCCGACAAGTACAGCGCGACAGTTAAGGACATACAACTGACTCGTTACAGAGCAGTTGCCCGAGTCGTACTGTATCGAACCGCAACAGCAACAGCAAAAGCAGTTATAACTGTATCCCTTGATATTTCCTACATTATTATATATTCTTGTACTTGTCAAACATTATATGTTTATATGGTTGTAGGCTGTAGTGGGTTACGCCTTAGGGGGTACACTGGATTAGGGTTTCCTATTTGTATCCATCCTTCTCCCTGTCCTCCTCCCTCCGTAGAGTGTCCTCCGCCTGTCCAGCCGCAGTCACTGTTACCGCCTACCTCGCCTCTCCCTGCTCCCTCTCCTTACACTGGTCCCACAGGAGGTCTTACAGAGCGTCGTGAGCCTGAGTCTCGTCCTGCGTCGCCTGTTCGTCCTGCTCGCACTGGTAGTTGTGTCCGTCGTGAGCGTCCTCCTCCTGTCCCAGGCACTCACTACATGACTCTGCGTCCCTCTACTGCTCCTCAGCGTGTCCCTCTACCGTCTCCTCCTGCTTCCTCTTTGCCTGACGTTCCGGACCCTGAGTCTGACCGGTATCGTGCTGAGCACCCTACTGTCACGCGTCTCCTTGCTACTGTTGTCACTGACCCTACCTTTGAGTCCTCGGCTGCGTCTGCTCTGGTCGCTGAGTTGGTTGACTTTGCTGCTGCCTGTCGTCTCGACTACGCTGCTAGCCTTGTTGCTGAGTCTGAGTCTGAGTCTGTCTGTCCTCCGTCCGTCGGGGGTGAGTGTGCTCTTGGCACGGACGTCCTTGAGGACAGACAGGAGGAGTTCCAGTGTCTTGCTGCTGCTTTGCCCCGTCTCGTGTCCTTGCTAGTTGCCCCTGAGGGAGACCCGGATGCACCAGACATCCCGACCCCGCGCACTTACGCTGAGGCGATGGCGGGTCCCTACTCCTCTCAGTGGCAGACAGCCATGGACGCCGAGATGGCTTCCTGGAAGTCCACACGCACCTACGTAGACGAGGTTCCCCCTCCTGGGGCGAACATCGTCAGTGGCATGTGGATTTTCAGGGTGAAGCGGCCGCCGGGTTCTCCGCCTGTCTTCAAGGCGCGTTACGTGGCTCGAGGCTTCAGTCAGCGAGAGGGAGTTGACTTCTTCCAGACCTTCTCCCCCACCCCGAAAATGACCACTCTTCGGGTGCTGCTGCACATAGCTGCTCAGCGCGACTACGAGCTTCACTCACTTGACTTCAGCACTGCTTTCTTGCAGGGCAGCCTGCACGAGGAGATCTGGTTGCGCCGCCCACCTGGCTTCACTGGGTCGTTTCCTCCTGGTACCCAGTGGAGGCTTCAGCGGCCGGTCTACGGTCTCCGCCAGGCTCTGCGTGAGTGGCACGACACACTGAGGACTACTCTTGCGGCTCTTGGGTTCGCGCCTTCTACAGCTGACCCGTCGCTGTTCCTGCGCACCGACACTTCGCTGCCGCCGTTCTACATCCTTGTGTACGTCGACGACTTGGTCTTTGCCACTGCTGACACTGCAGGACTCGCTCACGTGAAGTCGGAGCTGCAGAGGAGACACACGTGCACAGACCTGGGTGAGCTGACAAGCTATCTTGGCTTGCGGATCACCCGGGACAGAGCACGGCGCACCATCACCCTGACTCAGTCACACATGGTGCAGCAGGTTCTCCAGCGCTTCGGCTTCACGTACTCCTCGCCTCAGTCCACTCCCCTGCCTACCGGTCACTCGCTCTCAGCTCTGCCTTCGGATGAGTCCGTAGAGCCGAGTGGCCCGTATCCAGAGCTTGTGGGCTGCCTCATGTACCTGATGACCTGCACTCGACCTGACCTTGCATACCCTCTTAGCATCCTTGCACGCTATGTCGCTCCTGGCCGTCACAGGAAGGAGCACATGGATGCCGCTAAGAGGGTGTTGCGCTACTTGTGCAGTACGTCGGGCATGGGGCTTGTGCTTGGAGGGCGAGACCGAGTTGTTCTCACAGGGCACTCAGACGCTTCTTGGGCAGACGACCAGGCCACTCAGCGGTCGTCTCAGGGTTACACCTTCAGCCTTGGCTCTGGCTCAGTTTCTTGGCGCTCTACGCGCTCTTCTTCTGTTCTCGGCTCCAGTTGTGAGGCTGAGATCTACGCCACAGCCATGGCTGCTCAGGAGCTACGCTGGCTGACCTACCTGCTGACCGACCTCGGAGAGCGGCCTCGTTCTCCTCCAGTGCTGTACGTCGACAACAAGGCTGCCATTGCCTTGTGTGAGGAGCACAGACTGGAGCACAGAACGAAGCACATCGCCCTGCGGTACTTCCTTGCTCGAGAGTTGCAGCAGCGTGGTCAGCTTTGTATTCGCTACGTGGCCACTGAGGCCAACACTGCTGATGTGTTCACCAAGGCGCTTCAGCCTCGTGACCATCAGCGCTTCTGCACTCTACTAGGCCTTGTGCCTACTGGACCTCACTTGCTTACCTCTTGACTTTACTTGTACTGTGATCACTATGTATATATATACCTGCATGTTTACTCTTGCTAGGTTGTGATCGCTGTATCTCTTGCTCTGTTATAAACCTGCATGTGAACTGGTCTTGTGACCACTAGCTTGTGCTCGGAATTTGTGTGGAATCCTCGAGATCCACCCTGAGCTTGCTTTGCCTTGCTTTGCCCTGACTGGTCGTGTGACCCCCAGGTCTCCCCACTTCGCCTATGGGGGTGTGTCAAACATTATATGTTTATATGGTTGTAGGCTGTAGTGGGTTACGCCTTAGGGGGTACACTGGATTAGGGTTTCCTATTTGTATCCAGCCTTCTGTTAGTACAGCCATTCCTGTCTGTTAACTCTGAAAGTACTCTCTTGTTATAATCAATCTACTTTGCCCTCACATACTAGCGCAAGGTGGTTCACAATTTCTTCACTGAAAGCTTCCGCTATTACAATTGTCCTATCCAGAGTTCTCCCCTGAAAAGATCCTAAGGGGCTATCTCAGCCCAACATGAATGAACTTGTCAGAGTGCGCAGATATCGAATAATGAGAATGAGAATTACAGAATGATTGAACAATGAAGTAGCGAGGCCTAAATAGGGGAAAAGCTACCTAGGCGGGGATGGTGTGGTAGGGTTGGCTCGCGAAGTGTCGCGATTGGTGCGGAGGCGGCTCGGTGAGGTTGGGATGCGAAATTGTAGGCCGAACCAGAGGCTCGCGTGGCCCTCGGGATGGCCTCGCTATCGAGCGCCTCAGTAAGGATTTGTAAATCCTTACACTCTCCCACCTCCTAAATAAGGCAGCCCTGTACGAAAATGAGTCCCACAGTAGCGAGAATGCCCCTGATCTTCAGCCCAAGTGAATCCGACGGCTGAAATTGCCTTCAACCAATTTGAAGATAGGTTGGAATGTAGGCCGTTGATGAAGTCCGATTTCGATCTGACGGTCGAGGATGAACTGACCCAAAATGTTGTAGAAGTTGGAATGTGGGCCGTGGATCGAATTTGATCTTGATCTGACGGTCGAAGCCTGACGCGAAAAGGGAGGGAACCTGCTGACGCGAATTCAAACGCAATTGAGCAGGAACCGTAGATCGTGTCGGTGCGATCGCGGTTGTCCGTCGTGCTGACGCAACCTGACAAAGTCAGAACCGAGAAAAACGCCAAGGAAAGAACAGTGCGAAGCACTTTCTCCCCCCCTCCAAGAAAACACACCAGAAAAATTCCAGCAGCTGCGCCGAGATGAAAACAAACAAAACCAGGTGTTAATAACCACTGAAAACGAACGTTGAACGTAGAAATCCAGGTGAAAATGCGTCGGTGTGGAAATGTCGATGACGAAGCCGGGTGTGACGAGCCCAAAATTCTTCGAGGGCGAACCAGCGAAAGTAGACCAGAAACCGAAACCGAAATTGCCGAGTTCTCGAACTGAAGTTTTTTTTTTTGTCTTCACATCGCCAGAATCATGCAGCATCCGCAGCAGTTGCAGCTGGCAGCACCTGACGTGGCTGAAATTAAATCCGCTTGTCGTGGGCCACGTGTTCACCCCCGTTATTCGGCCAAGTAGGTTGACTGCATGAGTCAGAACCAGGACTTGGTGGGGATGGTGAGGTTCGGGCGAAGTAGGGCCGCAGATCGATTCCACCGGCTTTTAATCTGCCCCCGCAACGTTCTTCAACCCCCGCTTAGCCGTTGGGCCGTTTCTTCTCGCGTGTCCCGGCAGCCTGTACCGACCCCTCCGAAATTATCGGGCGGTACCTTGGACACCGTTTAACCGTGGGTTGTCAGCAGCTGTCCCCGAAAACAACGTCCTTGGTCAGGGGAAACTGTTCTCGATACTGCCGGCCAGCTTGCAACAACACTAGGCACGCAGCGTCGCCGAGTTGTTTCGAGGTGTACCTGCCTCGATTCCCCTCGTCACCTGCGTCCCACTTCCACGTAAGTGCGGTTTAGCCACCGCGTTTTCCGTTGCAGCCCGTAAGTGTCAGCAGGTATGAAGCCCCGTCTGTCCACGAGCACTCCTGCCGAAATCGTTGTTGACGCGCCCGCCAATGCAGTAAAAGCCCCGCACTTATCCGGTCGGGCGGGACGGCACTTAACTCCCGCGAAGTCGGGCAATCTTGTGTAGCCTCTCCTCGCCACCGACATTTTCGGACGCAAACTCATTTTCGGGCGAGTTCCCCAGCCGACGTTTTCTTCAACAGAAGCTCCGAAATTTTCGCCACAGTGACGCACGTTCCTTGTCGCCAGCTGCCGAGCCACACTCCGTGAGTCGCGCGCGCATGATGACGACGAGCCACCGTTGTCACTTGCCGCATGGGACGGACTCCGAAGTTGTCGCGCAGTTGTTGACTCGGGTCCAACGTCGTCAACTGCTACACACGTTGACGACTCCGAAATCTTCGTGCGGGTGCCGGCGCAGCTGACGCCAGCTGCCTCACAGTTTCGAAATCGTCGTTAAAACCACAGCGGAATAGTACTCACGTTCGATGTCGCGACAGCTCCAGCTGTCCGTAGCCTGGGGGGAGGGAGGCCACGGTCGATCGCGACCGTTCGAGCTAAGGATCTGGCGGTGCCGAAGGAGTGCCCTATAAAACTATGGCCGCGAAGAGCAACTAACTAGTTCTCTTGGCCGGCCTACGCAACTCCTGGACCCCAAGACATCCTTCCTCGTCCCCCCCCCGAGGGGTATTACACTCTAAAAAGCGGGGTAGGCTAGGAAAGTATCTCTGATACCATGTGTTATGAATGAACTTGTCAGAGTGCGCAGATATCGAATAATGAGAATGAGAATTACAGAATGATTGAACAATGAAGTAGCGAGGCCTAAATAGGGGAAAAGCTAGCTAGACGGGGATGGTGTGGTAGGGTTGGTTCTCGAAGTGTCGCGATTGGTGCGGAGGCGGCTCGGTGAGGTTGGGATGCGAAATTGTAGGCCGAACCAGAGGCTCGCGTGGCCCTCGGGATGGCCTCGCTATCGAGCGCCTCAGTAAGGATTTGTAAATCCTTACAGTACGGACCTGCTGGTGGCGACTTTGTTTGAGTATTGTGCATATAATAGTACGTGAAGTATTTCTACTGACTATACTGCGAAATTGTCGGTTGAGTACGCTTGCAAACCGCGTCAGGCATAATTTGGGAAAAATCACCAAACCCGACGGTTTTCGGATTTGTGTCAAATCGGTCGACCACTCGTGCTCCACGTCAGCACTATTTCAAATTCCAAAACTCCGATCGACCGACCCAATTTCTACACTTTCAGGCACGAAATGGTCACTCTGACGCAATTTTTACTTCTGCGTTAGGGTTCCTCGAATTTCATAAGTATGTGGGTGGTAGAGTCTGTCGCGTTTTGGGTAATATATTGCACTGCCTGCGTAAGCAGGCAGTGCAATCGAGTCAGCAAGCTGACCGCGGGCAAGAAAAAACTAAAACCCGTAAGCCATGGGTTCATTTTTTTTGCCCGCGGTCAGAATGCTGACTCAGTCGGTAGCGCCGGGCTTTTTTTTCCGCGCTATGTGGCATTGAATGCTGGAAGGACCAAATCGGACCAAATCGCAATCTCCGACAAAGTTACGTACTTGTGGTGACACACTCAACACCAACCGATAAACATTATACCATACCGCGTAAGCTAATGTAGGGTCGATCGGAGTTTTGGAATTCGAAATAGTGCTGACGTGGAGCACGAGTGGTCGACCGATTTGACACAAATCCGAAAACCGTCGGGTTTGGTGATTTTTCCCATAATTTGAGTATCAATGAAGTTGGCCGAAACGCTCACCATACATACACCAGCGCCCGTCGTACCTGTTAGGAGAAACCGACATAGCAGCGACTTAGCCGCCAGATCCGCGACTTAGCCACCAGATCGGCCACCTTTAATCGTCGGGCGCTGCTATACGTATGGCGAAGATGAACGAGCTAGTGATAGCAGGGATGAATTTCACGTGCGTGCTGGTGGCCGTGGCGGAGTATCAGATGCCTGAGAAGGAATGCCTCCTCAATCTCCTCGCCAAGGCGCTGGGCTACGGCATCATTCTTGGGTCTACAATTCTGAAGCTCCCTCAGGTGATGGGTCTATTTTTAAATCGACTCAGAATGCCTCCTCAATCTCCTAACCAAGGCGCTGGGCTACGGCATCATTCTTGGATCCACGATTCTGAAGCTCCCACAGGTGAAACGCGATTCTAATATAGGATAATAATTTTCGATTATAATCCCGCCGGTGAAACGCGATCTACGATTCTGAAGCTCCCACAGGTGAATTGAGACCTCAGGATAGATTTGAAGTCGACTCAGGACCTGAAATTCACGTTCTTAAAGCTCCCGCTGGGATACGCCGGCGTCATTCTCGGATCTACGATTCTGAAGCTCCCACAGGTGAAACGCGATCCCAATATCGGATAATTAAGGTCCATCACAAAATGTTCTACGCGATCTTAAAGCTCCCACTGGTGAATAGGATTCCAAAATCGGTTCGTAAGTTGATTTAGGAACGACATGGTACCAGGCCCCGCAGGTGAAGTGAGACACTGGGATTGGATAGGGCCCCCGCAGGTAAAATGAGACACTGGGATTGGTTTGCGGCGGATGCTGAGGTCCGGCGACGTCGCCCCCGTAATGCTCTCGTTCGCGAAGATCCCAATACGAGCTCATTGTGCGAAATTAAGCCGCAAAGGTAGTGGTGTGCGGCGACGGCAATGGTAGCAAGAGCACAGAGGGTGTGAGTGTGTTGGTCGGTCGAGGCAATTGCGAAATTAAGCCGCAAAGGTGGTGTGCGTCAACCGCAATTGTAGCAAGAGCACAGAGGGTGGGAGTGCGTTGGTCGAGGTGATTTAAAAACGGTGGTTGGGAGCGGCTTGCCTGACCAGACGCGCACAAGCCTCAAACGCAGAGAGGTACTAGGGTCGTTGCTGTCTAGGGTCGTCGCTGTCTAGCTTGGTGTTACTTTTGAAAATTCCCAAAAGTAACGCCAATATAGCCTGACCAGACGCGCACAAGCCTCAAAAACAGAGAGGTACTAGGGCCGTCGCTGTCTTGGTTCGTTGCTGTCTTGGGTCGTCACTGTCCGTGACTAACCTCAAGCCGTTAGTTACTGGGCACGAGTAGCTCTAGTGGAGGAGAGGGTACTGCCCATGAGTGCTGTCTAGCCATGATGAGGTATTGGTGTGCCATGATGAGGTATTGGTGTGCCATAATGAGGTGAGGTATTGGTGTGCCATGATGAGGTATTGGTGTGCCATGATGAGGTATTGGTGTGCCAAGATGAGATGAGGTATTGGTGTGCCATGATGAGGTATTGGTGTGCCAAGATGAGATGAGGTATTGGTGTGCCATGATGAGGTGTTGATGTGCCATGATGAGGTATTGATGTGCCATGATGAGGTATTGGTGTGCCATGATGAGGTATTGGTGTGCCATGATAAGGTATTGGTGTGCCATGATGAGGTATTGGTGTGCCATGATGAGGTATTGGTGTGCCATGATGAGGTATTGGTGTGCCATGATGAGGTATTGGTGTGCCATGATGAGGTATTGGTGTGCCATGATGAGGTATTGGTGTGCCATGATGAGGTATTGGTGTGCCATGATGAGGTATTGGTGTGCCATGATGAGATATTGGTGTGCCATGATGAGGTATTGGTGTGCCATGATGAGGTATAGGTGTGCCATGATGAGGTATTGGTGTGCCATGATGAGGACGCGGCACCTGTTTTCATTTTGCCAGGATCGATCGTGGGAGGGGATCGATGTGCCGCTTGTACAGTGCATTGGCGACTTCGCCAATGCATGGTATCTCTATTTCGCACGACGTCGAGAATGTACAGTACACGGGTACCTAAAATGGTGGCACCTACAGCTCGCACGATCGATGTGCCGTGGTGCACACATCGATCGTGCTTTTGGTTTGGCGGGAGAGCACATCGAGCCACAGGTGACAGCCGCGATCGATCGGCGTCGCCCACGGTCGCAGGGCAAAGAAAAATTCTCGAGTCGTTGCGAATGAAATTGCTGGGCGACCAACCACGCTCTGCCCTTATTGGCTGCGCGTTCCAGTGTGTTGGTGCATTCCGAGGCAGCCCCAACCTGACCAACCCTGCAATTTCGATCCTGGCACCTATAGCTCGATGTGTCTACCCTACTGCAAATTTGCAGTGTGGGCACATCGGTGTGCAGATTGACGTGTGGGGATCGATGTGAGGCCCCGATCCTGGCAAAATGAAAACAGGTGCCGCGTCCTGAGGTATTGGTGTGCCATGATGAGGTATTGGTGTGCCATGATGAGGTATTGGTGTGCCATGATGAGGTATTGGTGTGCCATGATGAGGTATTGGTGTGCCATGATGAGGTATTGGTGTGCCATGATGCAATCCCATAAGTCGAGTATGGTGGTGAGACGACACAGTATGCAATCTGCATATTTTAATTTTTTATATATCGTTTGTTTTTTTTTTGCCAACCTTTTTGCAGATTCTCGTGATCATCCGCAGCAACAGCATCGAGGGCCTGAGTGTACCGTCGTTTGAAATCGAGTGTATCGGCTACACTGTCTCTGTGGGGTACTGCCTCTTTAAGAAGGTCCCCTTTACTGCGTATGGCGAGCTCTTCTTCCTCCTCCTGCAGTGTAAGTAGGCATTAATTATGTGCTGGAACAAGCAAGCACTTTTGTTAGAGTTAACCCTTTGTTCACACGCACCTGTCGCCTGTTCGCTCTCTGGTTCTGTCCCTGCACTCATTTACGGTGAGAGTTAACCGCTTTTACCGCTTTTGCGGGGCATAAAGCTTTACGTTCCTTCTGGTCTCCCTCCCCGTCCCTCGCTTTCCCGCCACACCCCCTTCCCCCTCTCTCCCCGTCCTCCAACACCCCCACTCTTTCCCCTTATGCAATCCTCATGTTCCTTGTATACTAGCATAAGCCCAACCACGCTCGTGACTCCTTGTGAAGCAGAAAGTTTACTTTTGAGGCGCCTCAGAAGTATCCAATCCTCATGTTCCTCGTATAACAGCATATGCCCAACCAAGCTTTTGGAAGGCAGAAAGTCTTACGTTCGACTCGTGAGTCCTTTTGACTCAGGAGGACTCAAAAGGACTCAAAAAATACCTCTTGACTCTTTGGACGGCAGAGAGTGTTACGTTCCTTCTGGTTTTCCACCCTGTCCATCTCTTTCTCTCCACACCCTCTCTCCCCCCCCCCCCTCCCCCCACCCCCACGCTCACACCCTCCTCTACCCCCCCCCCCCCCCCCCCCGGTACTCTTTCTTCCTGTGCAGAGCTCATCCTCATGTTCCTCATGTCCCCTTCTCTGGTCCCTTTGCTCTCCTACCCCTCCATATCCTCTCCTCTCCTCTCCTCTCCTCTCCTCTCCTCTCCTCTCCTCTCCTCTCCTCTCCTCTCCTCTCCTCTCCTCTCCTCTCCTCTCCTCTCCTCTCCTCTCCTCTCCTCTCCTCCTACAACTCTCTTTGTCCCCTTGCTCTCCTACCCCGCCTCTCCTCTCTCCCTCCCCTCTGTGCAGCGCTCATCCTCATGTTCCTAATATACTCGCATCTCCCCAACCAGGCATCGACCACGTGGATCAAAGTAGGCATGTGAGTGCGTCCCTCCTCCCTTCTCTCGAGTTAGCTTTTGGTTCGACTTAAAGGTCACCTTCTCAATTGAATCTGCCCAACCAGGCTTCCACCACGTGGATCAAAGTGGGCATGTGAGTGCCTTGCTCCCCTTCTTCGCTCGATGTGACTTGTGATTCGACTCAAAAGTCACCTTCTTACTCGCATCTGACCAACCAGGCATCCACCACATATGGATCAAAGTGGGCATGCGAGTGCCTCCCCCCCACTTTGCTCAAGGTGGATTTTGAATCGACTCAAAAGTCACCACCTTACTCTCAGTCCAGTTAATATGCTTAACACCAGAAAAGTACCTTCGTATGAACACAATTAATGGACACCTTTTGATATTGTTGTTCATGTAAAGGTACTTTCTTGGTGTTAAGCATTTTAACTGGCCTGTGTGATGCATTACGAGTTCCGGCGTGTTTTTCATAGATGCACCGCACCTTCCACCACAAAGCACCACAAAGCACAAAAAAAAAAAAAGACGGGGAGAGGGGGGGGTGGGGGGGGGAAGAGAGGATTGTCTGCGCAGCAGTTGACAAATGGCTGCGAGGTGCGGCCTGGTGGGAAGGAAGGGGGTGCTGAGTAGGAGGTGCTGAGTAGGAGGTGCTGAGTAGGAGGTGCTGAGTAGGAGGTGCTGCCACGTGAACCTCCTACTCAGCACCCCCTTCCTTCCCACCAGGCCGCACCCCGTTACCCGCAGGCCTCATCTTATCCACCTCTTCCAGCTCCTCCTCCTCCTCCGCCCTCTCCTCTGCAAGATTCTTCAAGCGCTCTACCCTCTCCTCTCCGCCCCTCTCCCCCCCTCTCACCCCCTCTCACCCCCTCTCCCCCCCGTCTCCCCCCCTCTCCCTCTCCCCCGGTTCCATCCATCCTATGGACACCTCTCTCCCCGCCCTCTTCTCCCCGCCAGCTACTCTGCCATGGTACCAGTGCTCTTCTCAGGGGCCATGAGCGCACACCTGTACGAGACCATCTATGTAAGTAGGCCTGTGTTTCTCATGATTTTTGGACTTTTCTCTCATTCTGTTAAAACGAGTTGTTACGAGGTAGGGAAGAGGTGTGCGCCTGTATGTGTGTGCGGCGCGCCTACAGCAAAATGTGCATTGTCAACTTGTCTTGTGGACAAGCAGCAGAAGTTCATAAGTCGATGAACTGAGCCGACGCACTACATGCACTTCAACTTGTCAACTTGTCAAACAATTTCAATTTCAAAAAGGGCGTTTGTCGATTTGTCAACTTGTCAACTTGTCGACTTGTCAACCTGTCAACTTGCCTTGTCAACAAGCTGCAAAAGTTTCGTGATGGTTTATTTCTAGCAGCACCTCGATATCTATCGATCATGTATTTTGTCACTCCACTCCACTCCACTCCACTCCACTCCACTCCACTCCACTCCACTCCACTCCACTCCACTCCTCTCCTCTCCACTCCAATTGCCACTTCATCAAGTCCCTCTATCACTCATCCCAACTGCATTCCTCCACATTCTCACGTGCGTATTTAACTCTAAACTGGGTCTCATGGTCCCATCCTATCTCATCCTTCTATGCATGCAAAACACCTAAAGGGTTCTGTTCATCATTGTGTTTTGGTTCAACTCAGAAGAACCCAGGTTTTCATCCCCGTTATTAGTTCAACCCCGTTATGTTACTGCATGCAGAATGCTCAAACGGCTCTCTTCACCATAGGACGCATCCCTCAGATGTGGAGCAACTATGTGGTGAGCATTGTGTATTGTACCAACAAACTCAGGTGTTGATCGCTAAGTTGCTGCCACGTATAGACCATATGGCACCAAACTGGTCTTCACCATAGAACGTATCCCTCAGATGTGGAGCAACTATGTGGTGAGCAATGTGCATTGAGCATGCCTAGTTGTGCCCACACCAGCCGTAAAAGCCATGCACATCCCAGTCATTTTCAAAAGTGACTCCCAAGTTGCATCTTGCCATTGCTTTGCTGTGTCGTCTTACTTTGCTTGCATGCCATGCGAGCGACTTCCTCTAACTGCTCTTTTTCCGGCCCATACTCCACCGGCCATGTCATGTCACACCCCTGTGTCCCTTCATGTTCATCTTGTCACAGCCATGCATGTTTTGAGTCGGCTCAAAAAACTTCCCCTGACTTTTTTTTTTTTAAACGGCCCATACTCCACCGGCCATATCATGTCACACCCCCATGTCCCTTCATGTTCATCTCGTCTCAGCCATGCCATCATGTCGTGTCATCTCATGTTGTTTCATCTCATAGGTTTTACGTCATGTCGTCTCATGTCGATTCACGCCGTGTTCCCATGCACTGCCACCATGGGCATGCTTCCGCCATCCCCTTTGAGCAGAGCAAGAGCACGGGGCAGCTGAGTGTGTTCACCATCTTCCTCACCTTTGCTGGCTGCATTGGTAAGCACCACCTACCCTCCATTCTGTATCGTCAGTCGTGTTCGTTCTGAGGCGCCTCAAAAAGCACTCACCCTCCTTTCTGTGTTTTGAGTCGACTAAAAACACGTAAGCAGCACACACCCTCCATTCTGTATCGTCACTCGTGTTCATTTTGAGGCGTCTCAAAAAGCACTCACCCTACTTTCTGTATCAATCAACTACCTCACTTCTCCATCCATTAACTTTTGAGGTGCCTCAAAAGTCGTCTCATTACATGCAATTTTTGAGGCGCCTCATAAGCCGTACTCACCCTGCATTCTGTATCGATCACCTCGCTTCCCCATCCATTATCTGACTCCTGAGGTTCCTCAGACGTCCTTTCCTTCCACTCAGTATGAATAAAATCACCCTATTCTCTTGATGACTAGAGCGATGCTAGTTCGGCCTGCCAACCCTTGTGAGGTTCCTCAGGCCTCCTCCACTCAGTACGAATGAAATCACCTTATTCTCTTGATGCCAGTTCTGCTCTGCTAACCCGTCTTGCAATGTAAGGCATGATCGTTGGTAACCCAACTCGCTGCCAAGGTTCTGCTAGAGCAAACAAGCATTCAGACGTATAGGCACTTACTGACCAGCCTTGAGTCTGGAGAGGAGAAGGTGTGCTGCATTGGGAGGTTAGCTAAACTTCCTCCTTCGCTGCTGCTCGCTGGAACATGTGTCAAGATCTGCTGGCATTTACTGAACAGCCTTGAGTCTGGAGAGGAGGAGGTGTTTTGCATTGGCAGCTTTTCCTGCTCTGTGCTTCACAATTCTTTTCTTTTCTTGTTTTTTTATCTCCCATCTGGCGTTCTTTTGGCTTCCCCATGCCGCAGCCCGTCTGTTCACGTCGATCCAAGAAAAGGCCCCTCTCAGCAGTAAGGCACCCCACACATTCCCTTCTCAATTCTTCATTTCTTAGCTGCTCATTTTCTTACCTCTTCACATGTTACGGTATCTCATCCCCCCCTTTTTTTTCCTAGTCACAGTCTTTTACCTTGGTTTCCCCTCACTGTCCTGCGTTCCTTCCTTGCTCACCATACCCAACCCCCCCAAATCCCCCCCCGCCCTCCCTTTGCCACCTCTCCTCCTGCCCCTCCTCCCCACCCTCTGCATTACCACCACTCCAACGCAAACCTGCCTGTGTCCGGCATCTATGTATCTGCGTTTGCATCCGTGTTTCCTCCTCCCACTTTCTCTGTTCCTTGTTCCGTGCTTTGCAGTGGCCATCGGGAGCATTTTGGGCGTGCTATCACACGGCACCATCTTTGCACAAATAGTGTACTACACCTACATTCGCAAAGGAAAAGCAAGTGCGACCGCTGCCACCAAGGGGAGCACCGGCAAGAAAACTGAGAAAATCAAGGGCACGGAGAGTAAGGTTAAGGCTGGAAAAGACAAAAGCTCATGATTATGGAGGGTAATTTGTTCTACTTTATATGCTTTACTCTCTTAACATGTTTAAAAATTACTGGTTGATACTGGTAAACGTGTAGAAACAGGATCTAAACCACGATAACCACGCAAGATGACTGGCCACTGGAAAGAACCCAGTGGAGGGGGAATGACGTGGTGTTGGTAGAAGAGATGAGAAATAATGCATTGTATTGTAGGTCGTATATGTGCAAAATTTATTTCCAGGGAAACAACACTGCGGCACCGCTTATTCGCCAATATTGCCCGAGCCCAAGGGTTGATTCCATCCCTGGTCTTCAGCTGTGGAACTTCCTCTGCGCCGCGCACTCGTTCTTCACCCTGTCCCAGTTCCGCTGCACCAGAAACTTCATGTTCTTCATTCCAACCAGATTGTACTCAAACGTTTCCCCGCGGTCGTTCTGACCCGTTTTCGTCGTACCAACGTCGTACGAGCACTTGTCCGCATTCTCTTCGCCGCTGTCGTCCATCCACCCGTTCGCAGCGTCCGGGTCAGTTGCTGCCTCTGCGACTTCGTGTGCGATGGTGGAAACCGTCGCATCGATCGCAGGGTTCCCGTTGGGCGACGTGCTCTGCGCCCCGCAACCGTCGGGGCACTGGCCGTGATGCCCCACGAACGAATACACTACCGGGTTTTCTCCGATATAGTCCATGGTGTGCCATCCGCAATACTCGCTACAGTAACCGGGGACCGTAACATCCTCGCTGGAAAGGAGCAAATAGATACCACTCGCGTCGTACGCAAACGCCTTCCCGTCGCCAATATTGCTCGTAACCACTGCGACAGAACGAGGGTTTTGAATGGTTTAGATTGTGGAAACAAATCCTAGCACCTTCTCTGTACTGACCGCGCATAGATGCGAAAAAGCAGCAATGGATACGGTGAGCCCCCTTCCCTCTCTCTCTCGGAAACCAAAAAGCATGTCGCACGGCATACCGTTCCAAACTGTGTCATCGGCGAAACTCTTCCCCGCCGAGTAGTTGTCGTTGACGGTCCCCGCGAGGCGCACCTGGGATAAAACCGAGCGAATTTGCGAGTTAACTTCAATTGAAAATTCAAGACGGAAGAGAACATGGAGGCAGCTGAAGTGAGGGCGGTGAGCTAGCAACTAGGCTCATTAAATGAGCCAATCTCGATGTTCAAAGTCTGGGTAGCGTTGGGCCACACATTCGTTTCCAGCAAAAGCAATTTTCTCGGTACGCGGCGAAAAAATTCTCCTCACGGTCCGCGTGTCATGCGACGAACCTTCGTGCTGACGTTCGTCGGCGCGCCATCCACCTCCTGCGTGTACGCCGTACTGATCGCCCACCAGCGCTTCACCTTGGGCTCTGCGGGATCGCCCTGCCGCTTCGAGTCCTTGCTCAGCGATCGGATGAAATTCTCAATCACATTCTGGCCCGATCCTTCCGGCCAGCTACCGTAATAAATGATGTACACGTCAATAGACGGGTTTCCGGTCATCACGGGCCCGCCTAGGTATTTGATCGGAGCGCTTGAAGTGTCGCTGCCCGATTCGCCTTTTTCGCGCTTTTCTTTTTCGAAATGCGCCTTCGTTTCGAACATGTGCAGAGGCGGGCGCCCAGGGCGGTCTTGGATGTCGTTCAGCTGGCGCTGACGGCGGTACTCTTCGTGCGCCTGGCGCGTGCGCGCAACTCCGCGCTTAGGCGCACCGGCGGATGCGAGGGGTAGCAGCAAAAGGCAGACGAGGGAGGAGAGGAGAACAAGCAGGGCGTAGGTGTCGGTGCGTTTCGCCATTAGTTCGCTGGTTCTTGAAGGCAAGAATAGCTAGGAGTATCGATGATAAGCGTAGGAGCTTACGAGACTAGATTGCTACTGCAGCGTGGGGCAATTTTGCCGTTAGATCGCACTCGAATTGCTCTCCTGATGATCAACGAGAGGATCTATAAACGGACCTGCGGACGTGGAAAATTCTGCGGACCTAGGTCTCAATACAATTTAAAAACTGGTGAGCACAAGATGCAATCGGCACGCGACCGAGAGAGGAGCGAATGCTGGTAAGAAGCGCCGAAATGCGGCATTTATATCTCTGAGCACTGGAGGCGTGCCCGTGTTAGCGACGTCGATGTTCGACACGCCACGATTATTGCAGTGCTGTGCTGTGAGTGACTCTGATCTGAACTGAAACGTCGGTAGTTCCTGCCTGGTGAGGATGTTCTTGTTGGGTCTGCTCGTGTGGTCTGGTCCGGGGTGCAATGTCCAATAATTTCGCGACTCGATTTCCTCCAGTGCATTCTGGTTGAATGGGCGTCAAATCTACAATTTCGCGACTCGATTTCGTCGGACGAGTTGATTTCCGAAGGACATTTTGTGCGTTGGTGGGTTGGTGGGTTCCTCAGCTACTGTACACTGTTTTTCCAAGTACAGCAGCGAGTTCGATATGCAATAGAGCATACACTTACGAAAAGTTTCAACGAGTGTCCTTTCGCCGAGTCACTTAATATCGGGGATCTTGGAATATTTGTTCCTCGACCACCATGCCCAGTTCAAAATCGCCGCACTTCGCGCATCAGTTCGCCTTAGCCGGGGTGTGAATTCCAGCTGCCACGTCAGCATCATGGCAGCAATCAATGCCACCCTGCCAGCAGCCGCCATTCACATCTCAGCTTCACTTCGGTGCGACGCGGTTTTCCATCCGCGCCGCGTATACCCTGACGTCTCCCTTCCGAGGACGCGCCTCGTTGCGAGGACCTCCCGTAGTTCGTCCGTCGCCGCATCATCTCCCTCGGATTCAGGTAGTTTCGTCACTTATCCATCCTCGCTACCTCTCCCCACCCGCTCCCGTCTTGTCGCGCATCTATTCCCTCGAATTCGGGTAATTTCGTCACTTCTCCACCCCGCCATCAACTTGTTTCATCCGTCCTCTCGAATTCAGGTAACTCCGCCGCCTTTCCGACTCAAGTAACTCGAATTTCCTCCTCCCCCCCCCCCCCCCCCCCCCCCCCCCCCTCCAAGGTAATTTTCGGCACTACTCCACCCCCGCGCCCCGCCTCACCCTTCCCCCCGTCCCCTCCTCCTCCCCACCCCTCATCCCCCCACAATAAGCGTTCTTTCCCCCGCCAACCTGTTCTTTCCCCCGCCAACCTGCTCTTTCCCCCGCCAACCTGCTCTTTCCCCCGCCAACCTGCTGTTTCCCCCGCCTATCCGCGGTCCCCTTTTCCGCTGCGCCCCCGCCGCTCCGCACTCCGCTGCTCCTAGCCTCCTGTTCGCTCCGCGCTTCCCTCTTTCTACACCCTCGGGGGAAAGAGGGGGGGGCATCAAAATTATTCACCCATTTTGGAAACCTGTAAAACAGGAATCGCCATATTTGACATTCGCAATCCCAATCGGCTCTTTGCTCTGCTTTCCTTGCTCTGCCCTGCCCCCTCCCACCCACACACCCATCCCCACACCACCCTCCCCCTCCCCCCCCCCCACCCCACCTGTCCAGGCCCCTCCTCCCCTCCCACTCTTCCCGAGCCACTCGTTCCTCTCGGCCAATCAGAGCTGCGCGTGTCAGCGCTGGGAATTGGCACGCTCCAATGGGGCGATCCGCGCTCGGGCTTCGGTGAACAGTACTGCGCTGCTGACCTGGCAGAGGCCTTCCGGGCGGTGCTGGCGGGCGGCATCAACCTGTTTGATTCTGCAGAGGTGCTCGCTTCAAAGCAGACCAAACAGCTCTTAAAAAGTTATTGTGTTGGTTCCATACAGCATATTGACTCTGGTTACGTGCTTACATAAAGTCCGCCTCTTCACGCCACTGTTTTTTATGTTAAATGCTCCCCCTCCTCCTCCCCCCTTCCCCCTTGCCTCTCTCCCACCTTCCCCGCCCCCCACTCCCCGTCTTTACCACCCCCCCCCCCCCCCCCCCCCCCCCCTTCCCCCTCTCGCCTCCCCTCGCAGGTCCACGGATACCAAAAGATCCCAACCAGGAACTGTTGAGTCAATCCAAAAGTCAAACCTCTCCCTGCTTTTGGATCCAAAAGTCCAAAAGTCAATCCACAATCCTTGCCTCTCCCCATTCCATATCCCTCCTTTCCCCCTTTCCCTACCCCCCCCTCCCTTCCCTTCCCCCTCTCGCCTCCCCTCGCATGTCTACGGCTACCAAAGAGTCCCATCCGAAAATTCTCAAGTCAACTCAAGAGTCACACCTTCCCACTCTCCTCGCCTCTCTCCCCCCTACACACCCCCCCTTCTCCCCCCCTCCGTATTCCCCCTCTCGCCTCCCCTCGCAGGTCTACGGTTACCAAAGCATCCCAACCCCCTTCGATCACTCTTTATCCCTCTGCTCCCCCACTCCCTGTCTTCTCCTCCCCCCCCTTACACCCCTCCTGATTCCCCTCGCAGGTTTAAAGCTACCAAAGCATCCCAACCGGCAACTGTTGGGTCGATCCAAAAGTACCTCCCTCCCACTCTCCTTGCCTCGCCCATCCCGTATCCCTCCTTTCCCCCTTCCCCTACCCCTCCTCTCACCCCTCCCGCCTCCCCTTGCAGGTCTACGGATACCAAAGCATCCCAACCGGCAACTCCTCCGAGCAGCTTCTGGGAAGGTTCGTGGCGGAGGAGAAAGCAAGGAGGCTCAAGGAGGGAAGCGACAGCTCACAGTCACCGGCGCCTGTGGTAGCCTCCAAATTCTTCACCATCCCATGGACCAACCTGCTCGTGGGTATGTGTTGTATGCTTTTGGGTAAGTGCGGTCTCTAAAGCCCCATGGAAGGCATCAGCTCACTGTCCCTGGCGCCTGTAGCGGCCACCAAGCTCTTCACCATCCCATGGACCAACCTGCTCGTGGGTATGTGTGGTGTACGTGCGCACACAGACCAAGCCTGGGGGATGCGCCTTGGGGTTGGGGCAGTGGGCAAGGCAGGTGGTCTTGAGGGGCCAGGAGGGAAGTGACAACTCACAGTGTCAGAACTTAGGCTTAGAACTGATGCATTAGTAGTGAGCTTGAAGCTCTTTAAGTACATCCAAGAAGGGCAAGGAATGGATGGGGAAGGAAATCGGGGGCAATCCCTAGGGATTGGGGGTAATCCCATGGCAATCTCCAATTGGTGGGTTGGAGATTGCTTGGAGATTACATTTGGGTTTGGTTGGGATGTAGGTGTACACCCAACCAAACACAAAGTGCAAACTACACTACTCTAGGATATAAATATATAAAGTACAAAGTGTGAGATTGATGGCTAACACTAACACACAGTCCCTGGCGCCGGTGGTAGCTACCAAGTTCTTCACCATCCCATGGACCAACCTGCTTGTGGGTACGTATCATGTGCCATGTACGCGCGCACCACATGCCAAGCCTGGTTGGGGGATGCACGTCAGAGCAAAGAGACAGTTGGGGCAGGGAAGAGCCGGTAAGGAGCAACAGTTACAGACAGCTCACAGTCCCTGGCGCCCGTAGCGACCATGGTAAGTTCGTCACCATCTCGTGGACCCACTTCCTCGCCTGAAGGGATGGATGCACTAAGTTGAACAGATCTTCTCAAAACCAGGGTGACATTCGCCTTCGAGGGTGTGAACAGGTCGACAACACAGGCAAGCCACAGATGCTTCCCTGCGCTGCGGCTGTAACTGGCAGCCACCAGACTAGTGAGGTTTCACCAAGTACCTCACTCTTCTGTGGGCTGGACGCACCTGCTCATGGCGTGGGTGGGTATGCTCGCCCAACCTCACCAAGTAATCCCAGACCGTGCTACGCCTGTGATGCTGCCTAGGAAACTGCGGCTCATGAATTCAGACTCTCCGTCTGCCGCACTCACTTCACCTCCTGCCTCTTGCTGCTTCTTGCCTTGTTGTGCTTCCTCCCTGGCTGGAACCACGCTCCCATCCCTCCCTCCCTCTCACACTCTCCTGCTACCACCTCTCCTCCCTTTCCCCAACTGCTTCCCTTGCCAGGTGGCGGGCTGCGATTCGGCCGGCAGTCGCTGATAGATGCTCTCAGGGCGAGCCTGCAGCGGCTCGGCATGGAGCGAGTTGATCTTTACCAGGTACCACCTGCAGCCATATGGTTAGGCGAGCAGCAGTCTAAAAGAAATCTTTAGCAGAGGATTAACAGAACGAGCCTGCAGCGCCTTGCCATGGAGCGAGTTGACCTCTACCAGGTAGCACCTGCACCCACCAGGTAGCACCTGCACCACCAGGTAGGTAGCACCTGCATGCAAAGGCCTTGGCATGGTGCAGGTGATACCTGGTGCAGGTATCACCTGGTGCAGGTATCACCTGGTGCAGGTATCACCTGAGTCACCAGTCGCTGATAGATGCTCTCAGGGCGAGCCTGCAGCGCCTTAGCATGGAGCGAGTTGATCGTTACCAGGCAGCACCTGCACCAGGTAGCACCTGCACCAGGTAGCACCTGCTCCTGGTAGCACCTGCACCAGGTAGCACATGCTCCAGGTGTCTGCACCAGGTAGCACCTGCACCAGGTAGCACCTGCACCCACCAGGTATCACCTGCATGAGGTAGCAGCTGCACCAGGTATCACCGCTTTTTTTATTCTATGCATGAAAGCGTTCGCATTGACTACATGGAGACCCGTTTTGTTGTGATCGTTCCTCGAGTTACCAATTAAGCTAGTTCTTCTCTTGTCTCTCTCCTGCCTTCCCACCTCCGATTTTTTAAGTCCGCGAGGTGACTTTTGAGTCGACTCAAAAGTCACCTCCCATCTTCTTAGTCCACGTCCCCTTTCCCCACCATCAGCAACCTAATCCCATCTTCCAACCCCCCTTCTTCCCGGGTAGATCCACTTCCCCTTCCCCACCATCAGCAATGCCACCCTAATGGACGGGCTAAAGCAGGCGCATGCAGAGGGGCTGGCCACGGCTGTTGGCGTGTCCAACTACAACACACAGCAGGTAGCCATTCAAAAGAGAGTATTATTTGAGGGGAGAGTGATGGTGGGGAGAGAGAGGTGTGCGAGAAGACATGGGCTCAAGCAGGCACATGCAGAGGGGCTGGCCACGGCTGTGGGTGTGTCCAACTACAACACACAGCAGGTAGCGGTTGGAGAAGGTGTAGAGTGGTTAGAAGGAGCGGGTGATGGTGAGTGGAAGAGCTGGGTGAGAAGACATAGCTGTGGGAGTGTGAAATTGAAACACACAGCAGGTGCAGTTTGGGGGGGTGAGTGCGAAGTAACTGCAACACGTGGCAGGTAGAGTTTGGGGGGAGAGTGAGTGAGGTATAGTTGGAAGGAGCGGGTGATTGAAGGCATCACATTCTCGGCCAGCTGGGATGATTGATGGCAGTTGGCCGAGTCTGCAGTTACTTCGCATCAATGCATCACATTGATGGCAGTTGGCCGAGTCTGCAGTTACTTCGCATCAATGCATCACATTGATGGCAGTTGGCCGAGTCTGCAGTTACTTCGCATCAATGCATCACATTGATGGCAGTTGGCCGAGTCTGCAGTTACTTCGCATCAATGCATCACATTGATGGCAGTTGGCCGAGTCTGCAGTTACTTCGCATCAATGCATCACATTGATGGCAGTTGGCCGAGTCTGCCCCCTCTCCCACCCCATCGCCCTCCTTCACATCATGTTTGCTCCCTCCCTCTCTCCCCTCCCCCTCCCCAGCAGTTGCACAAGGCGCATTCCCTTTTGAGTCGACCCAAAAGCAGTTGCAGAAGGCGCATTCTCTTCTCAAAGCAGCAAAGTGGCTTCTGATTTGACTCGATAGTCACCTTTGTGGCCCCCTCCCATTCCTTCTGCCCTCCCTCCCTCTCTTTCCTGGCCCCTACAGTTGCAGAAGGAGCATTCCCTTCTCAAAGCAGCAAAGTGGCTTCTGATTCGACTCAAGAGTCACCCTTCTGGAACCCCTCCCATTCCTTCTCACCTCCCTCCCTCTCTTCCCCCACCCCCCCCCTAGTTGCAAGAGGCGCATTCTCTTCTCGAAGCAGCAAACATCCCGCTTGCCTCAAACCAAGTCAAGTTCAAGTGAGCCCCTTTTGAACTCGAGACGAGAGCCCTTTGGAACGTGACATGAGTCGCAGGTGTCATCAGTTTAGTCACACGCAAGCAGCCTTGTTTTCTGAAATCGTTGTTGCCGCTTTTCATGAAATCGGTATGTTCTGTCCAGTCATTTTTTCTGCACAGTAGGCCAAATCTAAGTGGGTTAGGCTTGTGAGTCGACTCAAAAGTCACGTGGGGCAGGCTTGACCGCGCAAAGCTTGTGCCCCTCAAAGCTGCTAAGTGGGGCAGGCTTGTGCTGTGACCGCTCAAAGCTTGTGCGTCGACTCAAAAGTCATGTGGGGCAGGCTTGTGCCGTGACCACTCAAAGATTCTGCCCCTCAAAGCTGCTAAGTGGGGCAGGCTTGTGCCTTGACCGCTCAAAGCTGCTAAGTGGGGCAGGCTTGTGCCTTGACCGCTCAAAGCTTGCCGCTGCTCCTCCTTTTCCCTCACCTCTCCTCCTTTCCTCCCCTCCTCACCTCCCCTCCTCACCTTCCCCTCTCACCTCTACATCCTCTCGTCTCTCTTCTCCCACACTCTCCTTTCCCTCACCAACCACCCCTTTCTCTCAAACCCTTCATTCCTCTTCCTGTCATGCCCACCCGCCTTTGTCCATCCCGCCAGCCTGTTGGACCGAGGCACAGAGACCAGCGGCCTGCTGCACGCATGCAAGGTAAGCAGCGGGGGAGCCTACGGAGCAGGGCAGAGTGGGGAAGCATGGGGTATTTCACACGGGGTATTTCACACGGGTTATTATTTCACACGGGGTATTTCACACGGGGTATTTCGCACGGGGTATTTCGCACGGGGTATTTCACACGGGGTATTTCACGCGGGGTAATTCACAAGCACAGGGGATCACAATCACAGGACACTGCAACACACTGCAGCAGCCTCTTGGATCAAGGCACGGAGACTAGCGGGCTGCTGCGCGCATGCAAGGTGGGCAGTGGGCGAGGGATCAATGAGTAGAGTGGGTAGGGCGCTCCTTGCCTACTCGCCCCTAACATTTCCTCTGTCCGCTCCCCTCCTCCCCTCCTCCCCTCCTCGCCTCCTCCCCTCCTCGCCTCCTCCCCTCCTCGCCTCCTCCCCTCCCCGCCTCCTCCCCTCCTCGCCTCCTCCCCTCCTCACCTCCTCCCCTCCTCACCTCCTCACCTCCCCACCTCCCCACCTCCCCCACCACCCTCAGGACCTGCAAGTGTCGTTCATAGCCTACTTGCCCCTGGCATCCGCCTGCTAGCTCCCCACCTCCCCTCGACCCCACTCCCCCCACCCCACCACCTCATCCCACCCCTCCCAACCCTCCCCTTCCCACCACCTCAGGACCTGCAAGTGTCGCTCATAGCCTACTCGCCCCTGGCATCGGGCCTGCTCACAGACAAGGCGCTCACACGCACAGACAAGGACGCTGTGAAGGTGAGTGGGAGGTGGGGGGGGGAGGGGAAAGGTGAAGGCGAGAGCGTGAGCATGAAAGCGTGAGGCCTGCTCACAGACAAGGCTCTCACACGCACCGACAAGGACGTTGTGCGGGTGAGTGGGGGTGAGGGGGGAGGAGCGGGGGATGAATGGAAGAGCTTGGCCTGTGCTGTGCTGCCAGTGCCTGCCTGTGCTCTACTCACCCCTGGCATCGGGTCTGCTCACAGACAAGGCTCTCATGCGCTCAGACAAGGGTGCCGTGCGGGTGAGTGAGTCCTTTGAGCTTACAACCGTTGTTAGTGGCCTGGCCTGTCTGTGCTTGCCCGTGGCTCACGCGCTCGGACAAGGGTGCCGTGAAGGTGAGTGGGAAGGGGAGCAGAGGCATATGCGAATGGGTGAGAGTGAGGTGGGATGGGGGAAGGGGTAAAGGGAAGTGCGTGAGGGCCTCACACGCGCAGACAGGGTTTGACGCAAATGCTTTTGAACAAATGCCTTTGCCAATACTCGAACAGTCGAACCCTCGTTGAGCCCTGAGGTCTGTAAGACTGAGCACACTCGCTCTACTCAGTCTTGCAAGTAACAGTACGACCCACAGTAGCCTTTTTTAAGTCTCTTTTGAGAAATCTCCGATTATTGTTTCCGGATGATTCTCTACCCCTTCTGTCCTTCATCTCGTTTGTTTCTGATTGCTGAAGGTGCGCCCGCTGCTGCAGCTGATGAAGGCGATTGGAGAGGAGAATGGCGGCAAGAGCGTTTCTCAGGTACACATGGCGTTGAAAGAGACACTTTGGTAAGTATCAGATGAGGAGCTACACTGTGATGTTGGGAACCCACTGTAGCGTTTCGTGTTCCTGGAGTAGGGATGTGGGCAAGAGTGACTGTAAAATTGAAGCAAGAATTGTGAGGCAAGTACACAGGTTATGAGGGAGCCATATTGTGCATGCCCACGCTTCATGCCCGTGCCCCTAACCCCCATCTTTACCATCTCCCGTCAAAGGTTTTTGTCCGCCTCAACCCCTTCTGTTCCCCTTCCCTTCCATGTCCCCACCAGGTGGCTCTTAACTACATCATGTGCAAGGGTGCCATTCCCATCCCCGGGTACGTTTGCATCCATTCACCGTGCACTGGACAGCAGAGCACGCCCTCAGGTAGAGAAAATGGTTTCCAAGACTGATTTTCTAGATTAATGTCCACCATAGCCACCTGGTAACAATCACTTGGTGTCACCTGGTGACAGCAGAGTCGTTTGCTGGTGGACCTCTGCTGGTAGACCTCTCTGGCTATAGCAGCACACTGCCTGCACCTCTCCATGTTTTTCTCTCCTGATTCATGATTCCGTGCTGTTCTGAACTATTTCAATCTCACCCGTTTCTGATTCACCTTCACTTCTCCCCGTCTCTCGGATCTCTTCCTTCCCCTCATCTCTCCCAGAACCATCGTCCCATCCGCCAAACCCAACCCCTCCACTTCCTTCCCGCCTCGCACCAGCTGCAAGACAGCAGTGCACGGCAGAGGCACCCGAGCAGCATGGGTTGGCTTACTGAGTCGACTCAGGAGACACCCATCCATCAACACCCCATACGCCCACCCCACCCCCCCACAATCCAGGTGCAAGACAGCCGCGCACGCTACAAGCCACCTGGGTAGCATGGGCTGGCGCCTCACACCAGAGCATGGTAAATATCTTGCAATGTAGTGTGATGTATCGAGGTGCAGTGCGGTGCAAGCACTGCAGCCTATTTCTGAGCAAGCTCTATAGTGTGGCTCGTCCCCCCCTCACAGACCACTCTCTTCTCACACACTCACACTCTCTTCTCACACACTCGCTCTCTTCTCACACACTCACACTCTCTTCACACACTCACACTCACTCTCTCTTCTCACACACTCACACTCACACTCACTCTCTCTTCTCACACACTCACACTCTCTTCTCACACACTCACACTCACACTCTCTTCTCATACACTGTCTCACATGTCCATTGCATGGCAACTTAATTTCCTATTGTTCTGGTGCCTTCATCTGCCCTTCTCTGCGTGCTTTTTTTTCCCCCCTATGGCAGTGTTGGCACTGGAAGAGAAGGCTGGGCAAGTGAGGTGACGGCATTGTCTCTCGGTGTTCGGCTGTGCCATTCTATTTATGACTTCATTACTCAGATGTGTACATTGTACAGTACGTTGGATGGGCTACACGTGGATAGCTTTGGCTATTGCTACTACTGTACTTGTAGTAGCTCTGTTGTCCGTCTTTTACAAGTTCCCACCCACCTGTGTACAGGTTTACTGACATATGAAAATGGTAAAAAAATCATTCAGTAATGTGATCCGGTTAGCACACTATCAACCGAAACTAGTCTTGCTCAGTTGATAAGTCACTTTCTCTTCAACAAGCCAAGGTTCTTTCTCTTGCTGATTCTTGCATTATGTGCCGTGGGGGGCCAGAAGGTGTAATTTACAAGCCAATACTTTCATATTCAGAACAATTGCACAACAACGCAAGGCCAGGGTCATTCAGTCTACAGAGGCCGCAGCGAGGGGTAGTCCTCGAGCATGTCGCGTGTCGTGAGCGTGTCCTCCTCGTTTTGCGGCGTCCACATCACCTCCACAGCCTGCCATGACGCACAACGTAGCACATAGTGAGCTTACCCATTCCGGTACATAAATCAGAATAGTGTACTCTCAGGAAGGTTGACGGTAGAGCATGGAAGGGGCAGGCAAGACAGGGATTGCGACCAGCGCATCCTATGGCAGGTCAGCTGCCGCTGCCACATTAACTCTGTATCATGGTTAGTCAAGCTTCATGTATTGCCCAGCTCTCCCCAATAGCAGATAGAACACACACCGCTACAGTCACTCACCTGGAGCTCGTCGGCAGGGATGGACCCTAGGACGGTCAGCGCCTCTCTCAGATCAGCATTAGACGAACTTGAAGTTAGAAGGAACCACTGAAACACCCCGTTACAGTCACACACTCACTCACACACCCCGCTAAGATCACTCACCTGGAGCTCGTCGGCAGGGATGGACCCTAGGACGGTCAGCGCTTCTCTCAGATCAGCATTTGATTTCACCTCGGGCAGCACGAAAGTTCCCTCTGTGGCCGCCAGAATGGTGACCTGGCAACACAGACAGCGAGAACAGAAACCTTTTAGGATTATAAAGGCTTATGAATGTTCAAGGCAAGAAGAGACATAAGATTAACGGTGTATAACAAAAGATAATGTGCATACGCTGTAGGAAAACGAAATCGCTACAATGGTTTTCTGCCAAATAAGATACGTGAAGGAAAGAAGTACTGTAGAGGTGTAACATACCACAATGTACTCGCTGTTCATGCGCTGCTCGCTGGGCGCGCGCTCGGACCGTTTCCGCACGTCACCGACGTTGACGAGAGTCTCCTCCTTGAACTTGCTGCGCTCGCCCATGCTCAACCGGTTGAACGCCGCCTCCCCCCCGTACGAGTCGTTGGCCGTCTCCGACTGCGGGGATGAGATGGAGGAATGGGTTTGCAGGAAAAGGTTAATAATGATTTTATGAAAGAGTGTAGAGAGCCGTAAAGTTTTCCATATCTACTGGAGTCTCTGAAGGAGCCGAGAATTGAGGGTGTGGGATAGGAAGGGACGGAGACACAAGGTCGGAGGACAGAGAGAAAGTATTAGTGCGGAGAAGGGGTGAAGATGAAGGCAGTGGAGTAGAGGCATGCGGTGGAGGGGGGAGGAGCATACCGAGGAGAAGCCGTAGATGCAGTAATCGGGGTTGCGCAGCAGAGCAAGGACGGTCTCTGAAGAAACCAAGGGGATCAGAAAAGACAACACACACGCATGTTCAGGTAGTGATACAAGCTGGCTGGGACATATTTCAATGAGACTAGGTAGTTTTCGAGAATTCTTAAAAATTATTAAAAAAAAAAAAAAAACAAACAAACAAACAAACAAACAAACAAACAAACAAACAAAAGGGGGTCAAAGGGGAGCAGACAAGACAAACGCACATTTGTTTCCATGAGACAAGCTGGCTGGGACCAAGTAGCCGTGTATTTGGAGTGAACGACCGAGCGCTCAGCTTGAAGGAAGGCAAGCATCCATGGCCGCCAATCGCAAAGCGTTCACCTTGCAGGATGGAGTGCAGGCCCTCCTGCGAGCTGGTGCCGGCGCGCGAGAACGCCGTCAGAGGCAGCAGGGCAAGCACCCACAGAGCAGGCTCAGCGCTCACCTTGCAGGATGGAGTGCAGGCCCTCCTGCGAGCCGGTGTCGGCGCGCGACGCCATCTGGTCGAGGTCGCGCTGGAGCTTCCTCGCCGTGCCCAGCAGTCCAACCTGACGGGGGGAGTGAAACGAGGGGGTTACATGATCAATGATTAGGCTTGGACTACTAGGGATTGGCAGTGCGTTCCTCATAAGGGGTATGAAGAAGAGGGGCGAACTTCCAAGACGGAACAGCTTCGTTTCTGCCTAAATGTAAACAAGACAAGTTAATCAAGCAGGTTACTTTGTAGTTCATTCAACTATTCCATGCGAGCAGAGCAGGAAGGACTACATGACGTGAGCTAGATACTGCAGCATTGCCGTGTGCGTCCGCTCCGCGCATCCCATGTTGCTCTACCACTCACTCTCTTCACCGCTTTCTGCGCTCTCAAAAATGTCTATGACAATGCACCGCGAAATGCACCCTTCTTATAACGGAATGCGCCCCAATCACAACTCGATGCACCCTCACTGCTCACCTGCAGGCGAACCACGCTGCTGCGCTGCGTCTCCGCCCACACCTCCTCCTCCGCGGAGTCCGCGAGGAACCCCATCACCGTCTGCGCAATGAAGTACTTTTGAGGCGTTTCAAAAGTCGCTGCTCACCTGAAGGCGGACCACGCTGCTGCGCTGCGTCTCCGCCCATACCTCCTCCTCCGCGGAGTCCGCGAGGAAACCCATCACGGTCTGCGCGATGAAGTACACGGCGATCGCGAGAATCAGGAACCCGAACACGCCGCCGCCGCCGCCCAGCGGGATCGTCGGGCCGAAGAAGAAGAACGGCGTCGGCATGAAGAACGGCGTCACGGGCGCCACGACGACCGGCGGCGCGGCGTATGTGGCGGCGGGAGGCGCGTAGGTGTTGGCGCGCGAGGCGGAGAAAGCGCTTCCGCCGACGCGGCCTCCGCCCTGCGCGGCGAGCGCGTCGTTCGGCGTGCCTGTGAGGACGGAGGCGATCAGCGCGGCGGCGAGGATGGGCTTGACGGCAGCCTTGACGGCTTCTGTGACGGATTCCGTCAGCTTGGCTGGCCATTGAACGGATGGGACTGCCTCGGCCGCGGACGACGAGGACGTGGCTGCATCGTTACTTCTGCCGGCGGACGCGCAAACGCGGGCTCGGCGAGAAGATACGGCAGCGCTGGTTGAGGAGGAAGAAACTTGAGACCTTAATTGGGTGTTCGCCGCGATCCGCGCTGTGCTGGAGAGGGACTGCTGCTTCTTGGAAGCGAGCGGAAGAGGCGTGAGGCCTTTGCATTGGAGCACGCCAGACTGGAATGCGACAGCCGAAGCCATTAGCGCTACCCGACTCTACAAGTTGACTCCGTACACCCGAAGTTGGTACGCTTTGTGCTAGGAGTGGCACAAAGATGGCGCGAATTCGAATTGGATTATCGAAGGCGCATCTGTGTAGTTTTTGATACTGAAGTATCTCGACTGGAGGAGCAAGGAGGGACAGACGGAGAAAGGCTGGTTTGGGGGGGATAACAAGATGTCTAGCGGAAGATTCTAGATTTGCGTCCTTCCTGTACCCTCGTGACCGTCGGATTGCTCAGACTCGAAATTTTAGGTGCAGCTGAGCCGCCCGTTACTTCTGTACGATGATGCGGCTCGAATGGCAGTGAGTCAGAGGATAGAGCTGCTTGCATCCGAGCTGGATTTGAATGCGAGATTCGTTGCAAGATGAATTTCAGGGCTCGAGGGGAAGGCTGGGTGGATCTTGAGCGATGGTCATTCAAATTGCCACGTCGGACATCCGAACAGCAGCTCGATTTTTAGGCCACATGAGAGCCAAAAGATTGTGTGCGCAAAGCAGCATTCGATAATAATATGGCGATGATTATAATACACCCATGAGAGGGATCGACATACCCGTTAAGTCCATAAACCATACAGTAACTAGATCACAAGCTGACACTCCATTCACCTAGGTGACCTACCCTATCTTTGACCAAATTTTGATCAGCATCGCTTAAAAACGCCTACTGCATAAATATTTTCGCATTCCCAAATGAACCAGCTCAATAGATGACTGAAATTACGACGGCCAAGAAAACAAACACTGCAAAATCCCTGATAAAGACCTGCGATTTGGCCACAAGTTCATAAATCTAGAACAATTTTATGTTTGTGAGCTCAAGTTATAGCGTTTTTACTGACCTTGCTTTTGTACTCGCAAGTTCACTGTAGATTACGATCACGCAACGTGCCTCCAGCCTCATCACCTGAGTAGATCGAGCCGCGACGTTGTGAGCCTCACTCGCCCCTCGGCTCGAGTTGATGTCGGCTACACCGCACCGCACCGGACCAGAACGCACTAGGGAGATCGAGCCGCGAAATTATTGGTCATTGCCTCTGGTCTGGAGCCAAGCCGCAGCAGGAGATTGCGCGTAATCACACATGAGGAACCAGAGACACAGCGACAAGACAGCAATAATGTTGGCGCTCCGATGAAACTCGACGTCGCTACTAACAGTCGCAGCGCCTCTTACTGCTCAAAGGTATAAATGCCTTACGCCGCCGCTTCTTTCCAACATCCTTCCTTGCTCCATCGTGGCTCACTCAAGCCTTTAGTTATGCACCTGTAGCTCCAGGTTGAGATATTACTAGTAGTTTGATATCAGCTAGCTGAGTGGAGATCTGGAGTCTAAACCAGCCCACAAACTGGCAAACCTAGCCTCGTAAATTCCGCGCTGTTTACTGTCACGTTGAAGGATCTCTCCTTCCAGCAAAGACTCGATGGCGACGCTCTCTAGTACCACCATCTCCCTGCTCGTTCTCCTCTCCCTCGCCTGCCTCTCGCTTCTCCCCTTCGCATCCGCCGTTGCGCCTAAACGCGTCGCGCGCACGCGCCAGGCGCACGAGGAGTACCGCCGTCAGCGCCAGCTGAACGACATCGAGACCCGCCCTGGCCGCCCGCCTCTCCACATGTTCGAAACGAAGGCGCACCATGAGAAAGAAGAGCGCGAAAAGGGTGCAGCGCGCGGCGGCGCTGCAAGCGCTCCGATCCAGTACCTAGGCGGTCCCGTGATGACCGGAAATCCGTCCGTCAATGTGTACATCATTTACTACGGAAGCTGGCCGGCAGGATCCGGGCAGAATGTGATTGAGAATTTCATCCGGTCGCTGAGCGCGGACTCGAGCCGGCAGGGGAATCCTGCGGATCCCAAGGTGAAGCGCTGGTGGGCGATCAGCGCGGCGTACACGCAGGAAGGGGGAAACGGCGCAAAGCAGAACGTCAGCCGGAAGGTTTGTATCGTGCCACGTGTATAGCCAGTACTTGTAACCAAGGATAATCTGCTGAGAGTTTCAAGCGCGAGAGTGGATCACCGCAATCTCGCTAAACGCAGCCGCGCCCTAACTTCAACCGCCTTCTTTTTTCTCTCACCTTGATGCAAATTCGCGCGGTTTTCTTTCAGGTGCGCCTCGTCAAGACCGTCTACGATAACTACTCGGCGGGAAAGCGGTTTGGCGAGAACACAGTCTGGCAAGGTACTACATGGGCGCATGAGACATGCTTTGGGATCTCTTTAAAAGCTAAACTCTTTTTCCTCTTCCAGCATTTCGTGATCACTTACTCTGCTTTTAAGAATCATTGCGGCCTCCGTGATAGTGTTTCTGAAGTGATCCTACCAATATAATCCCTTCTGTCGTCGCAGTTGTTTCGAGCAAGATTGGCAATGGGAAGGCATTTGCGTACGACCCCCATGGCATCTACCTGCTTCTTACCAGCAAGGATGTCACCGTCCCAGGTTACTGCAGCGAGTATTGCGGATGGCACACCATGGACTACATGGGGGCAAACCCGGTTATTTACTCGTTCGTGGGGCATCACGGGCAGTGCGCCGACGGTTGCGGTGGGCAGCCCACGTCGCCCAACGGGAACCCAGCGATCGATGCGACGGTTTCCACCATCGCTCACGAAATCGCGGAAGCAGCAACCGACCCGGATGCTACGAGCGGGTGGATGGACGCCAACAATGACGAAAATGCGGACAAGTGCTCGTACGATGTTGGTACGACGGCCATGAGTCAGGACAACCGTGGCAGAAAGTACGAGTACAATCTGGTTGGAATGAACAACATGAAGTTTCTGGTGCAGCAGAATTGGGATAAGCTGAAGAACAGGTGTGTGACGCAGAGGAGGTACCACTAGGGGGAGGATGTGTGGTGCTCGAAGACCTTTCCAGCTTCTTCGTGGAGCCTAGATTAGAACCCAATAATTGCTGAAGAATAAGTCGTTGTTACAGTGCATGTTGTGCAGGAAATAAGTTCTCCACGGATGTAACATCCAGTATGGTCCAGTACCGGTATTTCATATTCTGCTGCAATCTATTAGCTGAGTAGTCTCAACTCTTATGAACCGCACCATCTCCCAACCTCAACTTGATTCTTCTATTGGTCATTTATCAAGGATCATTGGTCAATGCTTTAAAGAATCCTAAACAGCAACAACCTCTTGGTATCACGTTTGTCACATGAAAAATAAGGTGTTAGCCATACGACGACTAGAGTAGCCCTGGAGTCACAACCATTCCCGGGAAAGTGTCCCGAATAAACCCTTCTACATCTTCTGCGTCTGCTCCAATCTTCTGGAGGCACGGAAGCCCCTTGAGCCAGTTAACACCATTTGCAGTAATTTTAGCATCCCACATCCCCAGCTTCACCAGGCGTTTCATGTTTCTCAGGTACTTCATGCCAGAGTCAGTCACACCCGGAGGCAAAATGAGGTAATTCAGTGAGGTGAGGGAGGTAAGATGCAGCAGCCCATCCTCCCTCACCCCCCCATCATGCAGTGAAAGCTCCTCCAACGCTGTCAGCTTACCCACATGCACCATACTGGCAGAGGTCACAGACACACATCCACCCAGGTGAAGCCCCACAAGTGCAGTCAGCCGTCCCAGCCTAGCCACTCCAACGTCCGTGATCTTGCTTTCGTCAAGAACAAGATTGCGCAGCGTTTTCACGCGGTCGATGCCTTCGAGAGCAGCATCCGTTGTGCATGATCCCGTGAGGTCCAGATGCACGAGCGCGGGCAGGGAGAAGAGCTTCCTGACCCCCTCGGCGGTGAAGCCAGAGGAGTCCTCGAGGGTAACGTTTGCGAGCTGGCGAAACGAGCGAGGTGAGCGAGGGCACCGTCTGTGAGGCAGGATATGCCGCTGAGGTCCATTCCTGTTTGTTGCGGCGCTGTTCTGGCCCAAAGCGCGAGCATCATCTGCAGAGAAAGCGTGTGTGGGCAGTCAGGAGCGGGCAGGGATGAGAGAGATGAGAGTGATGAGTGGGAGAACAGGTAAGTATGAGAGTGACGGGTGGGACAAGCTAGACTCTGGAGCTTCATGTGTATCACCAGCCAGTCAACATGCTGCCGCGCATGCTCCCATGTGCCACATGCATGTCGTACGCGTACCACATACATCCTCTCGTGTGTGTCCAATAACCAGGACCATTTGACCCCAACCATTTCAGGTACATTCATGTCCTCGCAAGCGCTATGCATAAACGGGAAAATAATAAAAGCACAGTGGTGGCAGCAGCTTTTGCTGGAAAATAACAAAAGCACGTGCACTCACCTCCCATACCCTCCCTCCTGTGCCACTACTCTTCTCCAGCTTAACCACTCTGCACCGCAGGCCATCCACTACCGCTCTTAGTCCCGGCAGGTCAGCCTTCCTTTCTCCATCAGCTGCCTTCCCATCAGCAGCGCCGCAATCCTCAATAAGTGCGCAACCGCCCGCAGCAGCAGGAGCCACCGTTACCGCCTTCCCTCCCTCATCCCGCTTCCGCCTCTTCCCCTCGCGCCTCTCCGCTCCTGCTTGCTCCCCCGCTCTTCCCCCGGGCTTGCTGCTCTCCGCGCCCTCCTTCTCGCGCGCACTCTTCCACTCCGCCACCGCCAGCTCCAAGTCGTTCATCCGCGCCTCAGTGTGCGCCGCCGTCGCGCGCACGTACGCCACTTCCGCCGCTTGCCGCTCCGCCGCAGCCCTCACCCGCGCAATCTCCGCCCTCAGCGCGCTCGCCGCGCCTGCCGCCTCCCTCCTCACTGCCTCCACCTGCTCCTTCAACCCCTCCACCTCCGACTCATGCTCACTCCTGAATCTATCCACGTGCTCCCCTATAAAGCTCTCCAGTAACGGGACAGTATTTCTCCCCTCGGAAGGCTGCGCCGAAAGGCGGTCCTCTGCCTTCCCTGCCTCCCCTGCCTCCCCTGCATCCCTTGCCGCTGCACCCCCCGCCCCAACCTTGCCCTTCACTGTCTCCCCGTGCCTCCCCGTCTCCAATGCCCCTTCCGCCGCTGCGCCCTTCGCCGCTTCGGCGTTCGTCATCGCCTGCCTCAGTTCGTCAACCTCCCTCTTGAGAGCAGTCACGGCCTCCTCCTGCTGCGCCAGCTTCGTTGCTAACTGCTCTACTCGCGCGTCCACTCCTCCTGCTGTCTCCCTCACCATCCCTCCCACAACCTCCCCCGGTCGCACCTTCACGAGCACCCCATTCAGCGTCCGCACCGTGCCTTCCGGCGTCGCCATTAGCAATCGCGACTGCACAAATGTCGAATTCGAAAAACCAAGTACAGTCACGCAGTACGCCTGGTGGGGCGATTAGTACCAGGGACGTAGGCGGTTTGAAATTGGTATAACGGGAAGTTGGAATTGGCTCGCCTAATTTCTCCGAATCAAAATACCCCCCAAGAAGGTGCCGATTTGAATGTTGCTGGGTGGTTCGGGCATGGGAATTTGTACCTGTCAAGGACGCTTTGAAAGCTGCCAGTTCGTGCTGAACGGACTTTTCCGAATGCTGTGTCGTGTCCAACGCAGCATGTCACACCGTCGTGCTGAAAGATGCTCGCCTGAAACAAACGCAGCATGTTACGCCGTCGTGTCAAACACTCTGTCACATGTTCATGAACGTTGCACCCTAAGACCAGCAAGTTCGATTTCCAAGCACGATTTCGTTTTGCACCTCCTCACTACCCCTTTTCAGGGAAGGGTCAATGTACCTGAATGTTCAATCCAGCGATGCGCCTCGAACGTGAAAGTCCTGCGCGACACATCCGTTATTTGCCTTACGACGTGTTGCGACCACCACGGGTCGGGTCGACCAGCCCCCGATTCCGAATTTCTAGGAAGGCTGCGTCGCGGGATTACCCGACCAGGTCGACCCGACCCAACCCAACCGGGTCTGCCCGACCCGGGTCGACCAGGTCGGGTCAACCAGGCTGACCAGACCCAACCCAACCGAGCAGGAGCTGGTTGCCCGAGTCTGCGAAATCTGTGGTTCTCGCACGGATATCGCTTGTATCTCGTTTAACAAAAAGATACCCGGTAATATCGCCAAACATTGCCTCGCCCACCTTCCACCTGCGGAGCACTTGCTTTCTCTTTACTTCGAATTTGCAGAGAAGGCAACGGGAAATTCTTTGTTTTCTCGAGTCGCCTTTCGGTTGGGTTGGGTCGGGTCGGGTCTACCCGACCTGGTCGACCCGACCTGACCCAACCAGGGTGGGTCGCAACACGTCGTTAGGACGCGTCTGCTGAAGCGGATCGGCCGAAGATCGGCCGATCCGCACCGACCGTCATTTCGAGCCCAGACTCGACAGAGTTCGGTTTCCAGGTCTGTGCAACTACGGCCCACCGATATACAGGTGACAGGTTCGGTAAGGCAGGATTTGGGGTTGTGGTACACTCACCCCGCGACAACAGCTCTGTTGTCGCGCTAAAATTCGCAGAAACAAATCCAGTGTATGCTACGTTGTGCAGACGATCGATATTGACTGTCAATCGTGGCGCGAAATCGCACACCGCGCCACCCAATCTTAAGATTGATATGTGCACTTCGCTATATCGATCGAGGCTCCCATAGGTGACAGGATCGTGGGCACAATGTTACTGTACATTCGCGAACATTGGCGAACGCTAGTTACTTTGTTTATTACGACGCTACAGTGTTACACTCCGCGCGCAAAACCGATCTTCCAGCCGATCGATCCGCTTCAGGAGACGCGTCCTGCGGGGCCTGTTGCGATCCATTTTCTGTTTATTTTGTACGACGTTTTTCTATCTATGTATGTGAGCTCTATTCTTGAGGATTGTAAGGAATTTTCTCAACATTCCTTACCGCGACCTGCAACATCGCGTACAGCAGCAGCCGTTGTTCGCCCGTTATTGCTAACGGGGCTTCGCCAACTTCGCGCGCACTGTTTCACCAAACCTTGCACCGCTGGCCCGGCCGTGTCGGCCTACGCTTCGGGACTAGCCCGAACCTCGATGCCAGCCTAGCACTAGCTAGCTCGCACGCACCGCGTTACCGTTTGCATGTTTCGCGTATAAATGCCCGCTCATGCCTTCGCTCACATATTGTTATCGTTTGACACTAAATGCAATATGTCAAATGTGGTAGTCTTAGTGATGTGTTGGTAGGGGGTACAACTCTTAGGGTTAGGTTTATGTACCCCAACCAACATTGTCAATGCAACACTTTCATTCTTGACACAATCCTCGCTACCTCGATCCATTGCACCCGTAAACACTTGGTATTCATAGCTACTTTCTTTCGAACCGCGCATCTCCGCACCCCAGGAAATCAACTTTTGATTTTTCACTCGAAGGGACTCACGCACCTTAGCCCCTAGGAGCCGCTGTCCTCGCGTTCCTCGCTGTCCTCGCGTTCCTGCGCCTGTCTCTGTGGCACTGGCTGATCCCACCTCGGGACCAGTCACTGCTCGCTACACTACTACTCTTCCGTGCCCTGCTGTTCCCTCTGGGTCTCTGACTGGCTTCCACGTCCCCTCGTTCTCGAGGAACTTGGTGGGCGTGAGGCCTCTTGTGAGTCAGCACGTGGGTGTGTGGATTGAGCCCTCTGGTGAGATGGCGGTTTGTGTTGACAGAGACACTTACGCGCCTCTTGCCACCTTTACTGCTGAGCCGGGCTCTGGTCTCTACACACTTCACACTGGCCCTGGTGCGCAGCAGCAGCAGCAGCGGCGCCTACTGCCCCCAGCCCCTGTTCCTTCCCCTGGCCTGGTCCCTGCGTCTCACCAGGTTGCTGCGTCCCCCCAGGTAGCTGTGTCTGGTCAGGTTCCCGCGTCAGGTCCAGTTGCTGCGTCGTGCTCCTGCCGGTCGCTTGCCCACCCTAACGTTCTGTGGCACCCCGCGTCGTCTGCGCGCTATGTCTCGTCAGCGTCTTGTCTTAGGCCTCCCACGTGTCTTGCCGCCTTCGCTTGCACCACCGTGCGGTCCCTGCGTCGAGGGTCGGTTGCGCGCCACCCCTCACTCCTCCTCCCTTCGTCCGACCACCGAGCCTTTTAAAACGCTCCACTTGGACGTCTGGGGCCCCGCCTCTCGCCTTGGCCCTGAGCGTGAGCGTTTCTTTCTGGTGGTCGTTGACGACTACTCCCGCTACACCACAGTGTTCCCCTTGGCGAAGAAGTCTGAGGTGACTTCTATGCTGATCAGGTGGTTGCTTACCACACAGGACACTCGTGGTCGTCGTGACAGTTGTCTTCACTACGACCGCGGGGGTGAGTTTCGCTACGACATTCTCGCTGGATTCTGTCGCGAGCAGGGCATTCGTCAGTCCTGGACGCTTCCAGAGTCCCCACAGCAAAATGGGGTTGCTGAGCGCCGCATAGGCTTGGTCATGGAGATCGCCCGCACCTCCTTGACTCACGCCCGTGCCCCCCATTTCCTGTGCCCATACGCGGTTCGGTACGCCGCTCACCAGCTGAACCTCTGGCCACGTGTCTCTCGGCCAGAGGTTTCACCGACCAGTCTTTGGACCGGGTCCCCTGGTGTTGCGTCGCGGTTTCGTGTCTGGGGTTGCTTGGCTCTTGTTCGCGACACCTCCGCGGACAAGCTCTCGCCTCGCGCCGTTCCTTGTGTTTTCCTTGGTTTCCCTGAGGACTCCTCTGACTTCACCTTTTACCACCCTCCCTCTCACCGGTTCTTTGACTCTCGTGACGTCCGTTTCGAGGAGTCCACCCCCTACTACGTCAGGTACCCCTGTCGAGGTCTCCCGGTTCCTCCTCCCCCTCTCTTCCTGACTTCCGCTCCCCCTCCTGCTCCCCCGGTACAGCCTCCCCCCCTGGTCCAGCCCCGTCAGGTGTGTCCCACGCTACTCCCCCCCCCTCGGTAGCCCCTCAGGTGCAGCCTCCTTCCCCGCAGTCCTCCTCGCAGCCTGCTGCAGACCCTGCGGGAGCCGGTGTTGGTGGCGAGGACCCTGTCGGTACTCGTTCTGGGGGTGCTGGAGTTGGGGCTGAGCCCGTGGCTGCAGGAGACTCTCGTCTTCCGGGAGCTGGTGTTGGTGGTGCTGAGTCTGGGGGTGCTACGTCTGGGGGTGCGGGTGCCCCCCTTTCGGGTCCTGGTGCGCCTGGCCGTGTTGCTGTTGGTGCTGACTCTGGGGGTGGTGCGCCTGGCACACTGGAGGGCGGTCGACTCTGGGGCTGCCGCTGCCCCGGACACTACTCCTTCCCCCCACCCCTACCCGACCAGGTTCCAGGCTCGTGTTCGCCGTGCCCGTGAGGAGCAGCTGGAGTTGGAGAGAGAGGAGAGAGAGTTGCAGCGGCTGGAGGAGGAGGAGCAGCAGCAGCAGAAGCAGCAGCCGCAGCTGGAGCCGCCGCAGCAGCAGCAGCAGCAGCAGCAGCCGCCGCAGCAGCAGCAGCAGCAGCCGCCTCCTCCTCCTGTCTCTGGTCTTCGGACCCTCGGTCTCCCCTCTCGCTCTCCTTCCTCCTCCCCCTCTCCTCCCGTCTCTGGTCCTCCGCTTCCTCCTCCTGACCCCTCCCCAGCTTTTTTTCCTCGTTCTCAGCCTTCGTTGTCCCCTCCTGTTTCTGACACTTGGCCTTCTCGTCGCTCTCCTCGTGCTCGTCCCTCGTCCCCTGTTCCCGTCACTGACCTTCGTACTGCCCTCTTTCGTTCTAGTCCGCCTCGTTCGTCTCCGTCTGTGCTTCCGTCTCCTCCTGAGTCGGCCCTCACTGCTTCCCTCTCTACTCCTGTCACTGACTACTACCGCACGTACCGTCCTGTTCTTTCTCGTGTTCTCGCCTCTCTTGTCCTTCGTGCCTCTGTGTCCTCTGTCTCAGCTCTTACTGCTGCAGTCACTGAGTTTGCCTCTACTCGCCGCCTTGACTACGCCACCAGTCTTGTGGCTGCTCCTCCTACCAGTCCTCTGGCCGTCGGGGGTGAGTCTGCCCTTGGCTGTGACGCCCTAGAGGATAGGCAGTTTGAGCTAGAGTTCCTGGCAGCCGCTTCCCCTCATCTCTGTGCCATGCTGCTCGCCCCTGAGGGAGACCCCGACGCCCTTGACATACCGACTCCTCGCACTTACGCTGAGGCAGTGTCAGGGCCTTGGGCCTCTCAGTGGAGAGCTGCCATGGACGCAGAGATGGCCTCTTACAGATCCACAGGCACCTACGTCGACGAGGTTCCACCCCCTGGGGTGAACGTAGTCGATGACATGTGGATCTACAGGGTGAAGCGGCCACCGGGATCTCCTCCGGTCTTCAAGGCGCGCTACGTGGCTAGAGGTTTCAGTCAGCGCGAGGGAGTTGACTTCTTTCAGACCTTCGCGCCTACCCTGAAGATGACCACTCTTCGAGTGTGTGAGAGTACGACGGCTTATGCCAGCCATGCATGCTTGTTTTTATTCCATTACGCTATTACTAGCTTAGGATTATTTTCTGCATGCATGAATTGCTTGATTTCCTAGGTTCGTTGCTTTACTATAGTTATTATGGTTATAGGCAAAGAACCAGGTTACGTGTACCGAACTCAAGCTATTCGGTTGCCACCGAATTGCTTTCTACCGAGTTCGGGAAGGTTCTGTTCGGGACGCTTCGCGACCCTCAGAACATTCGCGTAACACCTGGGTTAC